CACCTCACCTGTGGTCGCTTGCGGTTGCAGGCACGTTAAAATTTACAGAGTCTCCAGGGCTCTATATGTCAGGTTATATGCTCACAGATACCATTTTGCATGCGCGGCCAAAAACTATCAATGCCAAGAGAAGCAGAAGCTAATGACTATATATCACTATATCAGGTTATATGCTCACAGAGACCTTGATATTGCAAGGGATTCCCCAGTTCAACTGATATCAAACTGTGAACTGAATCAAGCACACACGTTATTTATGTAGAGAGAAGTCCCCCCTGAGCAGTTCCCAAGTTTTAGGATAAAGTTAAGCCGTTGATGCACAGCCACATATTTGTTTTTGAAGACTTAGCAACCTCCCCCAAAACCCCAACAGAAGTAAGGGAAAAAAATAATGATACACATCATAAATGTATCAGCATTGTATTTTCGAATTATCCAGCCAAATTCATCTAGATCTCATTACGAACTAAGAGTAACTACATATCATATAGGCCCAGCTCAAGTTTCAACAATTAGGAGAAAACGCATGGACACAGGAGCGTAATAAAAGCTTCGCAATACAGAATGAAATCAATGGCGATGCAGTGCCTGGAATGATTTTTTTTTCTTCCGAACTTAGATTATTAGCTGCACTTTTATCTAATGGGACTCTGCTGCGCTCACCCAGAAAAACAAAAAAACAAAAAAACACAAAAGCTAAAGCTAAATAAAATCTTTGAGGACAAAAGACAAAAAGAAATCAGCGGGAGGGCGCCCGTTTTGGAGCCTAAAAATGTTTCGAACTCCAACACTAGAGTCGAACTCCAACATTAAAAGCCCCAGAGGAGGATAAAAGGAAAGCACGGCAGAAGTTCCAGACCGATTATTTCAGAATTCGACCAAAAAGGAAAAGAGAAGAAATTTATTCAACGAACAAAACCAAGCAAATGATGGCAGAAACAAACCCGGAGCCCTAGGTCGCTCAAGAAGGATCTCTTCCGTGGACACCATAGTAAGCCTGCTGCTAACATCCTCGTGAACCGCATCGCCGAACTTGGCCCACGATCGCCGCTCAACGGCCCGCTTACTGAGGCGAGCGTTAGCAAGCTTGCGAGTACGAGTGGTTGTCGTGATCTTCACCTTATTGCCATCTTCGTTGAATTTGTACTCGATCACCTTCTTTATGCCGTTCTCATCGGGACCTATCACCTGTCGCGGCGGCAGCAAAAAATCAAGATCCTCGCCGTCATCCTCATCTAGTTCGCCCCACCGTAGTTTCGCCGGTTGCGAAGGGTTTTGGGCCGCCTGGACGGCACCGGTCGTTTTGGTGAAAGCCATACTCTACAGCAACACAGGGACGGGAGATTCGGGGGCTAGGGCTTACAGCTTAAATAACAAATTGACGATCCGTCGAGATCCTCCAGGTCGGAGTGGGAAACATCATTTGTGATCTTGGGTTTATCTATTTCGCTTAAAAACAGAAAAGGTATTAGGTTGATCTAGACCGTCCAATTCATCTAACGGACTAAGATGGGATACGCACTCCTACGGCTAACCATCCTCTTCCACGTAGCAGATTGATCCTAAGTCGGCTAAGTACTCCAAGAACCAAATAACCAAATTATACGGATAAAAAGTTAGTTAAAATTAATTAAAACCAATAAATATATTACAAAAGTGACCTTTTTTTTTTTGAAAAAAATTACTCTTATATATTAAAAAAAAAGCAGGGTAGGAGAGAAAAACAAGTAAAAATAATATAAAAAAGACATGTAATTAATTCATGATAAAAAGAAAAAAATATATTAAGTGTTTAGATAGAAATTGTAACTTATAAAAAACATACTTATTCAAAAAATTTGTAATTTTATAAAATAGAATTGGTGGAGTGTAATGTAAAACATACATGCGTTTGAATTAAAAAAAGTTAACGTCTTTTTTGTTTCTTTTTATTTCTTTTTTTTTAACTAATTGGATTTTTAGCCTCTTGATGTACGAAAAAAACGCAAGATACATTAACATAGATTATTTTTCGGAGGTCAATATATGAACATGGATTTAACCTTGAGACAATGCAAGTCTGAGTAGGTACTGTGATCTAACACTAAGTAAGGTCTAAGGTACTATTTGGTACGAAGCATTAAAAATAAGAAATAAAGACTAGGATTATAATTGAAAAAAAATCATTAAAAAAGCCTTTAGTATGAGTAATGGCTTGTTATATGGAATTAAGCAAACTCTTGAAATTAGCATTGGGGAATACTACTTTTTCTCTTAGTATTTCTCAATCCCACATACATGAATTCGTCTAATCTTATGTAACAAGCAATCTTTCATGCTAAACACTATTTTCTCAATTTTAGTCTCAATTTTTATCCCTTATTTTTAATGCTTCGTACCGAACAGTATCTAAAAATAAAATAGAATAAAAGTTTACAAGATAATCGAAGATTGTTTTGAACTTGTTGATTGTCAAAATTGTTGTCTATTCATATGATACAGTCTAAAACCAGACCGCGTAAGGTAACAATTATTAGGGCAAACATCTTCTACCCATTGGCATCTCCTAGGATCACTTTTGTTTCAGTTAAGATAATTAGACAATTTAAATATTGTTTGATAAATCTAATTTGGAAACTCATTACAAACCATATATTATTTTTCGAGTTAATCTAAACATCTCTTATATTATCTAATTTGCAGATTCGTTACAAATAATGCATTAATATTATTAGTTTTCAATTTCATCAAATTTATATTTTCAAATTTTGAAAATTTAGAGAAATTCATTTGACGTTGAAAAAATGGTAGTTTTTTTAGCTTGAATTAAATAAGTTGGCATAAAAGATTGTTTAAGTTCAAAAATTATAATTCAAACATTTTAAAAACTCAATTATGTCATTAAACACATATTCAAATATATTGTTTGAAATTATTGATTAAGAAATATTTAATTACTTCTTAAATAGTGCTTTTGGTCTTTAATATAAAAGTTAACTGACTAATTTGAGTAGATTAAAAAAATTTGTGAAATTAGTTATTTGTCATAAATAGATGTTGTCTTTCTTAAAATAATCTTGTTAATCATGTGTACTAGTTAAAACTACTAGTTAATGAAAATTTTAACATGTATAATAATTACAGAAACTATTTTAAAAAAATATAAATATGAGAGACAAAATAGACAGAAGTTATATATTTAAGATCAAATTAAAACTCAAACTAGTTTTTATATTCAGGAGGAGAGGTAGTATTTAAGTATTTGTGTCCCCTTAATTGTTAGGGTTAATTAATTAATTAATTAATTAACTAATACATATTAAAAATTCATGTGTGTTTTTTTCGGGTAAAAAAAAATCATGCGTTTTTCCTAATTTCTTTTCTCAAGTGAGGACTGTTTTTCTTGAAAGGAAAAATTAATTTCCAAATCCTTATCGTTTGATTTGATTTTCAATTAGGTTCCCGAACCTTTTTTTTTTCTCTTTTTATTGAATCTTTTAACTTTCTACTGTTAAATCAGTTAATCTCTACCATTAAATATCAATTATCAGTGTTGCAATTTTTTTGTTAATGACATCTGAAAGGTCCACTGCTGCCATGCGAGTCCTCCGAGTCTGATGCCACTGCGCGGTCGACTGCTTCTTCTTCTTCCCCCTCTCCAAGTAGATCTCCAATTCCAAAACAGAAGAACAAGTCATATACTACCTCTAATCCTAATTATAAAACTTTATTTATAGTCTATAAACGAGATCTTATAATTAAGAGTGGTGGTAATATATGTATATATATATGAACACATATATCAAGATCATCTTCTAAAGAAAATTGTTTGTTGCGAGTAAGTCAAGAAGGAACTTTTGATCACTGCCTGACTCATCCAAAGCCATTAAATTCCCTCTAAGCAAATTTGATCCTTTTGATCACACCAAAACCCACCATTACCATCCCCATCCATCTACGCCCCTCTTGAACTCAATTTTGTGGCGTAAATAGAATCTTGATGAGCTCCTGAGAAGTAGAATTTAAGATTTGAGCATATGTGTTCACCTATATTGGGTGCTGCTGAATGGTGGAGTTGACGATCGATCTTCCTAAAAGCTCTATGGATGTTCTGATGACGATGACGAGAGCCTGATAGCTTTTTTGGGTTGATCACTTGAAGTTTTGACATTGATGGGTTTTCTTTCTTTTGTTAATTCTCGTTGCTGTCACTTTGATTACACCATGTTTCTCGGCTTTCATCATATGTAAAAGAGAGAGAGAGTTTTAGACAGTGAAGAAAGAAATCCTAGAGGAAGGTACCACGGTGAGGAATGGGTGAAGGAGAAAGAAGAGTTGGGTCGACCTGAGGTTATGGCAGAAGGAAAGAGAAGGAGATGTTTGAAAGTCACCGACAGAAAATTGTAACGGTGTTAATTCATTTTATTTTATTTTTCGACTGAAGGTGTTGCTTCATATTTAACAGGAGGGAGTAATGGATTTATCAGTAAGAAAATTAAGGGATCCAATGAAAAATAAATAAATTTAGGAACCTGATTCAAAATGGAGCAAAACCGCAAGGACTTTCAAATTAATTTTCCCTTCTTGAAATTATGATTCAAACACTCAAGTTATGCTTCATGGCTTCAAGGTTGGATGGCTTTGCAAAAGCAGCACACGTTTGGTTCAAGCTCTGACTTCCAAGTTGTTGAGGGAGCAGTAGCGAAGCGCAAATCTCCGATGGAGGCCGACATGAGCTCTTAATACTCTTGGTTTATTTCTGTATCCTTTTCTTTCAACTACTCAAGAAATGGTTATCTTAAAATCAAGACTAATATTTGATTCAAGCTCAGCAAGCTAGCACTCGTCAACGTATCGAAACGCTGTGCGGCTTTCAATGCTTCTTATGCCAGCACCATCAATATTTGATTCGGTAAGATTCTGGCGGTCTGCTCCTACAAGTTCAAAAATCTGTTTATCTTTGTTCTTTTGATTTTTGATCCGTAGGTTCCAGATTCAAAACTGCTTCGCGACACAGGAAATAAGGAAATATGACCAAATAGGATTCAGTGAGAAGAGAAGCCACAATAACAGTACCACGACAGACTATGAATGAACATATATTATGCACTGTCACACACACAGAACTGAGCAACAGAAGGAAGACTATAGGAATGCAAAACTCTGGTGTTTTATGATATTCTGCTCTTCACTTATCCAACAAAACCATGGGATGCCGTCAAGCTTTAATAGCTTGTGAATTCCCAAAAAATCTCGGTCTTGGTCGGAGTAAGGGGATCGACGGAAACATTAAGAACATGCCTCCCTTGACATGAACACAAATTAGAACAGGGGAACAACGTCGGGGAAACAAGTAAATAACATAATTCCACGATCACCCACCGCCATCACCGCCACCAGAATCGCCGCCGTGACCATGAGAACTGCCACCTTCATTCGCACTCATTGCTGACATATGTACCGCAGTCACCACAGCAGCAGTCACTCCGGCATTAGCAGTGCCACCGGTACTGGTAGCTCCGGGAACGCCGCCATCAGCATCATCGACCGGAGTAGCAGAGGCATATCCTCTACTTTTTCCCTTCTTCCGAGACTTGTGATGATGATCGGATGTTTTTTGCTTGGAAAGCTTCTCTGCATTTCCCGGCATGTTTTCCTTACTCTTTTGGTTTCCAATCCGGATGCAGAAACAGATGTTTTTGCTTTTCATGACTGAAAATGGAAAGGTCACTGAACTCCGCACATTGATGGGCTTGATTTCGCTCTTATATATTGTGGCGACACTAGAAAAGAGCGGAAAAAGAAGAGGTATGGTTGATGAAGTCCTATCATGTTTACTTTTCTCCTTTCTTTCCAAGGTAGTAGTCACTAAGCGTATAATTGCTTAGTTGATAAGTATCCTAATCGTTAGTTATGGATTTTTACCATCGTCGCCCGATGTTTCAGAACTTTGAGCCTCACCGATTCTTCACCAGACTGGTCCAAAGTAGTAAAAGTGATATGCCACGACCGACCTGCAGTGGAGCATAAGTTTGGTTTGAATTTTTTAAGGTTTAACCTGTGCGGGCAGGAATAAGCAGAAGGGATGATGCTTTAATTAAAATATTGAAATGGCACATATAATTATTGTAAATCAAAGGCATGACCATTAGCTGTGGCATGCGTTGGGGAGAAACAGCTGGAAGCTAATTATAAGCGACATATGGCCCGTGACAGATGGTTTCCATCGCATTATATTCTCATCGACAGGGCGTTTGAGGTCACTAGTGCAGCCCACAGTACTTATATTTGTAGCTGCTCCGTAATATTTATAAATGAGTTAATTCGCTTTTCACTGTGAAAACAGTTATGTTTTAATACTATTTTAAAACGAATTACTCGTAGTATTAATATGGTGATCACATAGTTATTTTATCTCGTACGTCACATAATATAACTCGGATGATACATTCAGCAGGAAGCTTTTATTTTTCATTTTTAAAAGAAAAAAGACTGAAGGTAGTCGTCGTCTTTGAGATTACTGAATTTCATTATATTTACCTCCTCGTTTAGGTGAAATAGCCTACCTAAGATGTCCGGAGTTATGTTTTATAAAATGAATCTCTCGACCAACAATGTGGTTAATACAAAATTATCATCATCATCTTTGATAAACCTCAATACTTTGATACTTGTTCTTTACCCGTTAATGATGGTACACAGGAAAAAAAATGTTACACGCTTTATAAATACAGGTCTACGGCTGTGTGAGGGATGGCTCTCACGCGCGACTCTCCCTGGCGAATGGTTCTCATCCCCAGTATCATCACAAGAAAGGCTCACTGGCATCACCGCACAGCTAAAGAACCATCCAGCTTCATTTTAATGAGACTACTTTCAATGTTGCGCAGCACGGGCTTGTAGCTGCAATATTCAAAGGTCATATTTAAAAAAGATATACTCGGACAACAAAGAGCAGGCCTCAATCTAATACCTGGGAAGAAAGGAACTTACAAGCGTGAAAGACCATCATATGCTTGTTTGGCTTGTTCGAGTTGCACAGAAAGCTGCATGACTTGTGCGGATAGTGCCTCTGCTCTGCTCTGTTCATTCACAAGTTGACCCTTTCAAAGGAAAAAAAAAAGGGGGGGTGAAATTACGTCAAAGCTTAGAGAAGATAACTGCAATCCAGTAATACCCCTTTAAAAAGGATAAAAAAATAGATTACTCTTGTAATCTCAATAGTTTATTTAGTCCCATTGTCGTATTGGACAAGATGACAACATGGAGGAACAAATATGCCACGCGCAGCTTAAGCTAACCAACCTTCAAGGACACCATTTCTGATGTAGATGCTGAGGAAACGGCCACATGTGCCCCATCGCTGGATGAGTCAGGGAAGCCCCTAGCCTGTTCCATTCTCAATTTATCTAGAATCCCACGGAGCTCTTCATTTTGCTTAAGACAATCCTTCACCTAAGGGATTGCATGTGAGCACACAGTCATTTAAGAGGAAAAAAAGCATTTATGGTCTGGCACCATCAAAATCTTAAAGTACAGGTCACCACGGACTAAACATGTAAGAGATACCAGTATATGAAATGAAATACTTGGCTCGAATCTAGTCAGTGATTATTATCTGATAACTATATGATTCTCTACATAAAGGGGAAAAAAGCGTAGGGGATGGTCTCCAGTTCATAATCAAATTTGTTCAACAATTTTAGATAGTGAAGAGATTAACAGGCTCAGCCTATGTCCTGTAAAAACCTGAAAATTAAAAAACTTACAACTAAACAAAGGATAGATGATACCCTAAACCAGTAACTATACACACCAAATCTCGTCAAATGCCTTGCCACTGATTGTTACCTGATTTTCCCATCTCATTGCAGCTCCAATCGCTTCCTCGTACGAAGTTGAGATGCTAGAGTTTTCCTCAAAAAGCCTCTCGATTTCAGTAGATTGTGAGTCAATCTGCCAACATGACAAACCAGCGACCTCATCAGATTATTAACAAAATCGGAACAACTTCATTGGATGGAACATACTTGATAAAGTAGCTAATCTATCTCCAGATAGAAATTACCTCCATTAAGAGCTTCTGCCTACTGCCTTCCAACCTCTCAACAGCTAAAGCCATATCATGCAGCTGATTCTCCAGTTTCAGCCTGTCTTCCTGAAATTCCCAATTCACTCATCATTTGATCGATATCAGAAAGAGATCAGATGAGCAACACACAATAATTATGAGAAGGACAAGATTTCAATGAAGTTCCTCAGGTTAACGCCATGAGATTTCCCATAAAAACAGACCAAATACTGGCCATACATAATCACAGCAAGAATAAGTCTCAAAAAATAAATCCACCAACAGGTCACTACCAAGGACTAAAGAAGTTCACTCACCACAGAAAATTTCTTGTCCCCCATTTTTTCCGGGCCATCTGCATCAAAACAAATTAGGGTCAGCATCAGCTTATGGTGTGCCAAACTGCCAATCCAATAAGAAATATTAAGATTGAAAAAGAGATCATGACAGTAGTGAACTCTTTAAGGGACTAGCAATTATGACCGATGAAGAATTTAAGAGATTTACATGAGGATAATATGAATCTACATAATTTAGAGTGGGAAAAAAGAAAAGAAAGGAACTTCTATTGATAAGCACCCCCAACCCTCCCCATCTTTACGAAACAACATAGTGGCAGTACTAAAAAATTGATAAGCAAAAGAACACAGTGCTTTGGTCAATCTCATCTGTAGCTCTTCTGAGGAAATAAAAATGAAGAAACAGCAGAAAACATCCAATTGCAGCCACATACTAAACAATTACATAAATGGAACAGCATCCACAGTTTGGTTGAAATCTGCAATAATTACAAACTCATCATAGATTTTATATTAAGTTTCAAGGAAAGAACCTGCGGCCTTTCTAGACAAGGAGTTCAATTTCTCTTCCATCTCCTGCTTTTCAGAGAGCAGTGCCGCAATGCGGGCTTGCTCCATGGCTAGTTGTTGCTGTTCCTGCTGCCTCAACAGTGATTCTCGCTATAGATTGTAAACACTATTAGAAAAACAAAAAGAAACTCAAGAAAAAGATGAGAAGATGTCAATAACATAAAGTAACCTGCAGTTCTGATCTTAAACTTGCTAGCTCGTTTTCTAATCTTTGAATTTGTTCTGGTGGGATTCCAGGTAGCGAAATTGTACCAACAGTACTAGTCATTGCTTGTTGCTGAATCAAGTTTAATTCTGCTCTCAGAGCAGCTGCATCTTCCTCTGCCTATAACAAGATAAGCAATAAAATATAAATAAGAAGAGCTATGATGAGTTCTTGCACATCCTGTAAAAAAAGTAAAAATATTAAGAAGAAATGTCCAGCATTTCATAGTTCTCTAGGAAAGCAAGGTTCCCATACACGATATTGTTCATCTTCTGCTTCCTTTAAACGTTTCTTCAGTGTACGAAGCTGAGCTGAAAGATCCTCCTGCAATATATAATCACATGAAACATATCTAAAGATTAAAAGTAAGGAGGGAGAGGCAACATAACATTGAACATAGTTACCCGCGCAACAACTGCAGCATCTTTCTCCATTGCAACGTCCTTGAGAGCTTTCCTTAGAGATGGCACAGTGCTTTGCTCCTGATGAACAAATATTGGCGTCAGAACTAAAATACAGAACCAGTGAATGGCAAAATATCTATGTAACCAAAACACATAAAACAGAAGTTCAAAGTACCAACTCCCAAAGACAGGTAACATCACAAATAAAGCATAATGCATAGTTTCTGATAATATTAGCAGGGTGATACAATGTGGCTTAGCCATTTTCCAAATCTCCAGATTGTGTACAATGCAATGCAGTCAATCAAACCAACAAAACTGCATGGTAGGTTTGGGTTTAGGAGGAAATCTGCAGTATCAAACACGTAAATGAAATAAAATATCATCAAACCATTCTGACTTACTAATTCATTCAGCTGCTTTTGCATTGCACTGTGGTCAATTTCCATTGTTTGTAGCTGCAAAATGAGACGAATATATCAAGCAAAGGCGTTCGTCTTTTGGTGCAATTATAGTTGTAATTCAAGAAGTTTACCTTTAAAGTTACTTTCTTGTTTTCTTCCTCCAAATCTACGTTCTTCTTCTGCAGGTCGTTTAGTTGTGATAGTAAAGAACTAATATCCGTCTGTATGCAATTTTCAATATAGACAATTAAAGAATAGCAAATAAAGACGATGGGATGAAGATATGCTGATAGAAATGTTTATTACATCAGACAGTTTATTTGCGCTCTCCGACTTCTTCATTCCCGCAATTTCTAAGGACAAAAAGAGAAAGGAAAACGTTTTCATTCCAGAAATTGTAAAAGGAAATGGTAAAAGATACACATCGAATGATAGACGAAAGAGATTCTTTTGCACAACAACACAGACCGGCGGGGTTCGGGACTTTGCTCAGATCAGGTCCGGATGGGGTTTTGCTTAATCTATCAGTGGCCCTTTTCTGACGAATCTCTTCCAACTGTAGGATTGACATACAATTCAATTAAGTTGACCAATATGCATAAATTGATAGAAATCACCATGCTGAAACTGACAATGTGAAAAATACAAATTGATAACGAATTGAAAAGGACAGGGGATCAATTTCTAGCATGCCGAAGGCGATGAGTAAAATCGCAGCGTGGATGTCGAGAAAGACAAGGATGAAGTATTTACCGTCCGTCGACCAAGGGACGCATGACGTGCTTCCATTGTTTCAGATTTTCAGATGCCGATCTTCGTCCAGGCTCTCAGCCCCGGCGGTTTTCTTTCCAACGACCAGGTGGGAAAGACAAAACCACTGAATCTGGCATGAAATAAGTAATAGCGGATATCGGGGTCGTCAACGTCTGGGTGGTGTAGTTGGTTATCACGCTAGTCTCACACACTAGAGGTCCCCGGTTCGAACCCGGGCTCAGACACTTTACTTTTTTATTTTATTTTATTAAACGCAATCCCATAACAGATTATTTTACATCAGAGGGAAACTGGAATTTAAATTTGTTCCATCATTTACTCCCCACCCAGCTTATTTATCATTCATCAGATAGATAGAAGCTATTTCTCCCTCCAAGTCCTTCTAAAGCAAGGCAACGCATAGCTGGACTCTCATTCTTATCAATTAAAAGTTAAAACAGCATATGAAATGTTCAAGGCACATGTGAATTATGTCATGTGCTATGAAAATGCCCCCTCGCGCAATCCTTGTTGGAAAGCTCCGCGAAGGAAGAAATAGGAGACTGTTCAACCAAGAAAATGTTGTGTTAGTGCCTTTCACCTACTTAATCATACTATTAGAACACCAGACACACATGCACTCTCACTGTCCTTCTCTTTTGCAATCTGGATGTTTCGCATTAAACTGATCTGATCTCTGATGTACAGTTGATTCTTTTGGATGAAATTTATTTTCGCTCAAAAAAGGAGAGCTCTTGAGGCTTGAGCCTGGGCGTGTGTGTGTGTCCAGCAGCAGAATTGTCAATACATAATTTTATAAGAGCAACAGCTTTGGAAAGTGGAAACCCAAAATAGTTGCTTGCCAGAAGGCTAGAATTTGATTCTATCGGGAACATGACTCATTAAACGACCATATCAGGATTCTTTTTCCTCGTTCTCCCCCCAATTTTGATAAATGTTGGCATTTGATTCGCAAAAGCAATGAAAGACAACTTATCAAATTTCCATCACATCAACAATATATATAGTAGTAGCAAGCGTGAGGCGTTAGTGTCAATAAAGTAACCGAAAAAGAGATGGCACGGGTGATGAGGCTTAATTGCCATACATGGAAAAGTTGGACTGCTATTTGTTAGCAAAAAAAATGATAAGAAAAATTGTTTTAAATAGTTTCAGCATATTAAAAATGGGAAAAAAGCAAGACTAAAAATACACGTGAGTGAATGAATAGAATTTCTTGGGTTTTATATCTAAATAATTAGTAGTTAAACATAGTACCACGAAGGTTTTACGATTTGTTGTTAAGTAATTTTTTTTATTTAATCAAGAGTTTCTCTTTTCGAAACTTGAAATGTAAAGAGTTTTCACCTTTCTTAATTGTTTCTTAAGATTTAAATTTATGTTCTCTTTTTCTATGGAGGTAAAGCCACTTGCTATCTTAATGTCTTATTGGCTGTTAAGTAATTTAATTTCTGACTATGAATCTCTCAAGAGATTCATAAGCCCAATCCTTTTGGTGTGGTTTTATTTTTTTTTTCAGAAGAAATAAATTTTATTGATATTTTGTTATTCGAAGATTGAAGATGAAGACGGCACATCTGTCTATTGCCTATGCCAAGATGTCGTCAATTCGTAAGCATTGCTTTTGCCAGAGGAATTACAGGCACACCAAGATCAACAGGTGAATTTTTTTCTGGGGATCCTACTAAAATATCATTTGCGAAGGCTTTTTTTGCCCTTTTTTTTTAAAAAAAAAATTTGCTATTTTTGGGAACAATTTGCTGCCGGCCGATCCCTTTGCTTGAGTACGAGATATATCAACTCTTTACGTCCGCGATCATGGGGTCGTCGCTCTTTTACTCATGGGAGATCGACACTCCTGCTCTCTCAAACCCTAATCCCCCTTTTTCTTACTCCTGATATCAGCTAGATTTCACAATCCTCTCCATTCTTTCCATTTCTTTCTCCTGCTCTCATCCCCAGGTACCTTTTTCCATTGCCAACTAATTTGTTTGATTTCTTCTTTGTCCTCTGCAGTCTTCAGATTACTTTTTTTGACTTTATTAGGGTCTCTGAATAATTTTCTTCCTTTTTTTTGGGGCTGCACTCTTGTTATTAACCTAGAAGTTTCATTCTTTTTTTTTTTCTCCCGGCCGGTTAGTTAAGGACAAAGCTCTAATAAGTGACCTTTATCGATTCTAATCTGGTGATCACGTCAGTCTCTGATATCAGTTAATGACCTACGAATTTTGTCAAACATAGTTAAAACCAGATAAACACCTCCTAATCTTTAATCTTGTCAGTTCTGATTACTTCTTTTTCCTCCTCTTTCGAATGATTTTAGCTGATGACCATGTTGCTTCGAACTATACAGCCATGATTCAACGGCTTTTTTTTTTTTGGGGTGTTACTGTTAGCCGCCTTCTCGTTCGTTCAATCTGAAATTGTCAACCCCCTCGGTAATTTATCCACCAAAACTTAAAACATTTTTACACTGCTTCGTCAAGTTGACACTGTCAAACTTGTCCACATTCCGCCATCCATCATTGATTTAATCTTTCTAAACTCAGTCTAATCTGTGAAAATTGATTCTCAATGCTCTAATAGATGATGCTGTTATATAAATGCTAGGTTCTGATGACTATTGTGTATTCGTTTTCCTGAGTGAATGACCAGTTTGTTGAAGCAAATGGAGCATGAAAAAACTCCTGTCCTAGAAGCGAGTTCCATGCGGGAAATAGAGATGACAGTTGACTCCGAAAGAATTGATATTCTTCCTGTGGCAACAGAATCATCTTGCATTTCTGGTTGCCCTTTTTCCAGACAAGAACATAGTCTTGTGGCATCAGAAGAGTCATCAAAGTCGGCAAAGAAACTTTGTGGACTCATAGTATTCTATGCAATGGTTATGCTTGTGGAAATTGTTGGTGGTTTGAAAGCCAACAGCCTAGCTGTTATCAGTGATGCTGCGCACTTGCTTTCGGATATTGCTGGATTCTCTATCTCTCTCTTTGCAGTATGGGCCTCAGGTTGGGAGGCAACTCCACATCAGTCTTTTGGATACAATCGACTTGAAGTTTTGGGTGCTCTCTTATCTGTGCAGTTGATCTGGCTAATATCTGGCTTTTTAATATATGAAGCACTTGGGAGACTTCTTTACAGAAAGGCCAGGGTGAATGGCATGCTCATGCTTTCAATTGCAGCATTTGGATTCGTTCTTAACTTAATCATGGTTTTATGGCTTGGTCATGATCACAGTCATCACCACCATCATCATGGCTGCGGAGACTCTAATCATGATCATGGAAAGGAGGAGCAACATAATAACATAACAGATGAAGAGGAGCTTAGTCTAGTTTCAAGTAGTCCTAGAAAAGGAAATGTCCTGAACATAAATTTGCAGGGGGCCTATCTGCATGTCATGGCTGATCTGATTCAATCTGTCGGGGTGATGATTGCTGGAGCTGTGATATGGGCTAAACCAGATTGGTTAGTCGTTGACCTGCTGTGTACTCTAATATTCTGTGTCATATCTCTGGGAACTACAGTGTCAACGCTCAATAATATTTACGGCATTCTGATGGAGAGGACGCCAAGTGACATCGATATCATGAAGCTGGAAAATGACCTCAAGGGCATCAAGGGAGTGCAAGATATTCACGACTTGCACATTTGGGCCATAACTGTTGGGAAAAATGTTCTTTCTTGTCATGTAGTAGCCGAGCCTGGGATCAGCTTCCCTGATTTGCTCAATAGGATTAGGCATTATTGTGAAAAAACACACAAGATTCATCATGTAACCATACAAATTGAGTAAGGATGGGGCATTTCCCTTTCTATTTTTATTAGGATTGTGGTTATTTAGACAAAAGTTCACATGTACAGAATTTTTAACTTAGCAGCATGTGCAATAAGCCGGTCACTGACCTCCCTAACTATGGATTTTGCACGATTCGAAGCCTCCGGCAGTCTCCACTCCTTCGACATTAGCAAGTCCATGTCTATGTGGCATCTCACCCGGCTAAGAGGACCACATACACACGACCTTTCAAAGTCAGTCAGTTTCCCGTCTCCACAACCTAGTGCCCGAAAGGATGGATGATTTATGCATCATATTGTTTTCTGCGACTCAGCTACAACAAAGTAAAACGCTAATAAGAAAGATGACAAAATTTTTAGGCCATCAAGAAGATGACACATAGCTGCGTGTTTTCTTGCTCATGTATTGTGTTTAAGCTTCTTCACCTTCATTTTTTTTTAACTTTCTTCATGACTACTTTCAAATCATCCTATTAGTACGATCTGCATGCCGATTCGATAACATCAGTAAAGGAAAAAATCGTTCAAGATGAACTGATGTGCAATGTATTTTTGCTTTATCAAGTAGGATCCCATTGACACGGCAATTTTACGACATCTTAAGGAAGCAAGAGGTCTATTGGAAGTAGTTTACGTTTAACCATCTTGAACTGATGGGCAAAAAATGAACCAGGCTGAAAGGGGAAGGCCCTTCTTTTTCTACTTCGATTTCTTTTAGACATGTATGAAGAGCTTATATTTACTGCATTCATCGTCCCCTCACAAGAAACCTAATTACTTTTTCCCCCCTTTTCGGGATATATATAATTTTTTCCTATTGCTGTTTAACATTTTGGTTGGATATTAGGATACAAGATGAAGACCTTGCTTTTTCAGGGGACCGAATCATTTTAGAAGTTATATTCAATCCCCCCCCCCCAACGAAGCTAAGGTTCGTCGATGTGACTCGGCCTTCATTTTCCCATCCCCTTGGTTGAACTAAACAAAGCCTATATATGTCATAGAACTGAAGAGATCCATAAAAACAGGGCATAGAAGGTCAATTTCATAACTTTTGACAAAAAAAGAATTATTTGTTTACATTTAAGATTCATTTATTACAACATGATAATGAAAAAGAGAACGAGAATGGGAGGACTCTCACTTGAAAACAATAACAACTCTTCTTCTAATAAATAAAATTGCTTTGTCATTTACCAAGTCTTAAAATAACTTTCTTCACCTTTGACGTTCCTCAATTCAATTTTCACATTCCAAAGACAGCCTTAGGTTGCTCCATGCTCCCCTCCACAAGTTGCCGCTAGATTCGGGAACAGTGCGATAGAGACGATCACATGGTATACGTCAAATAGTTTCAAAGCAGAAATACCATGGCAAATAACTCAACCAAACCCAAGAAGCAAATACAATCTAACATTGTCGCGATTCCCATTGACCACACTATATCATTTATATCAGTTGGCTCCCATTTCCTATGAATACATGGGAAACTAGCTTAACCTCGAAGTAAACATCCAAAGAAACTAGCAACACTAACGTTTAAGAGGGGGAAAATCACTGACTTCCTCAAGGCAACTCAATATAGTAATAAATGTACTCATGTTTCTCGCCTATTTAGAAGGAAAAATAAACGAGAAAGATGTGAAAATAGAATTGAACCGGAGGGGGGAAAAATATCTACTAGCAACTTCTTTCAGTCCTCAAATAGTGCATTAGGTGGAACAGCAACTTCTTTTGGTAGCCCCCGACGCATCTGCAACATTGATCGTAGTTCCTTGTCCAGGAAGGGTGGTACTCGCCGCCGCTTCCTGAGCCGCCAGTGCTTTTTTGCTCACAATATGATAGATCTCTGTCAAAATGGTTTGGAATGCCTTTTCGACGTTGGTTGCGTCCAGAGCAGATGTCTCGAGAAATGAAAGACCTTCCTTCTCTGCCAATGCTTGACCATCATCCTCTGAAACAGCTCTAAGGTTGTTTAAATCGGATTTGTTTCCGGCCATCATGATTACTATATTAGAATCTGCATGGTCCCTCAATTCACGGAGCCACCTTTGAACATTATCGAATGTTTGCCTCTTGGTTATGTCATATACGAGGAGTGCACCAACAGCCCCTCTATAATAAGCACTGGTGATGGCACGGTACCGCTCCTGACCCGCTGTATCCCAGATTTGTGCCTTGACAGTCTTTCCTTCCACCTGTTGAGGAAACAGGATGGAGTAAAATAAAGCAATAGAATCAGTATATCAAAGAGGGAGTCCTAAAATGCTTTCTCATCGTGGTGTTCGAATGATCAATGATTCAATATGACATAGCAGTTGACCAATGGCTCCGCAATACTAGTTTGAGACCATTTCATCCTTTTTTGACCCTCTTCGGAAATGTATGATCCCATTAAAAAAATAAAACTTAGCCTAAGATATCCACCAAACTACTCAAATCTGTCGTTACTGGACTACACCTACAGGCTTTCTTCGTTATCACTCCCACCCCCGCACATTCACAATAACATAGTGAGAGCAGAGTAGTACGTTCCAACACCCCCAAAACGAACCACTCTATAATATTTCTAACCCATAAAAAAGGTTGTTGGGCAAAGAATCCAAACCTTTTACCTGTAGAATTCACCTGAAACTTTACCAATTACCATACATGATACACAGTCCCTTTTCATTAACTCCCACTAACGAGGAAAACGCGCGCTAAAAAATTACGAAAAAAATAGGGCCGCATTGAAGCTATTTCTACTGCTTTCGCAAATGGTAACGGACTCTTCCTGTTTATTCTATATTCACAAAGTTGTAAAGGTAAACAAGATCCGTAATCCTGTATTGTTGCTTCCACTTCAGTTGACGCTTGTCACCTGGTTATTAGCATAAAGACCAAGGTCGCTGAGTTCATTTAAATGAAATCTTGGCCAACTACTGCAAAGCATGTGTGATTTATTTATTCGAGAGTACAAGCCATAAATAATTCATCACGAAATCCTCATCAATAAACAGCAACAGACATACATCTGAGTCCAACCGCATGGGGTACAGTATTAGAGAGTTCAGAGTTATAAATGGGGGACAGAGGAAGCACCTGAAGAGTGCGGGTGGCGAACTCAACCCCGATTGTAGATTTGGAGTCCAAGCAAAATTCATTCCGAGTAAACCTGGAAAGAATGTTGGATTTGCCCACACCAGAGTCGCCGATCAAAACGATCTTGAACAGGTAGTCATACTCTTGGTCTACCCTATGTGCCATAGTCTTAGTGTCGTCCCTGGCGTCTCAAACACATCAGATCGAACCCGGATCAATCTCGAACAAAAATCGAGCATCAAATCGAAAAGAGGGAAACACGAATGGGACGAAACAACTTACCGGGAGGCGGATTGATCGAGAAAATAGATGGTGGTGTGTTTCGGGCTTTGGGCGTGTCGTTAGTCTTGAGGTAAGATGAATAAGAAAAATGAGGGAAAGGTTGGGTCACCGAACGAACCGCGCGGAGTATCAGAAGAAGAAGAGATCAGGCGACTTGAGGAGAAAGGAGGCCAATGGGAGAAGACAGAAATACCAATGACAGAAAAAGAAACGAAAGGGAGAGGAAATGCATGATAAAAAGGATTCCGTATTTTATATATCCTAATTATAAAATCCAGTTGAATTATTTGAGGAGATTAAAGAAATAAGTTAAGTTAGTTATTTGTAATAAATAAGTGTTGTCATTCCTAAAATATCCTTGCTAATTAAGTGTATTGGCAAGAACTATTATTATTAGAAGGACTATCTTAGAAAAAAATGCATAAATATAAGAGACGAAATGAATTGGGGTCTTATAATTAAGACCAAATAAAAAGTTAAACGGGTTTTATATTAAGCACCAAACTTATATATTTTTTTTTTGGTGGAGGAACACGGTCGCATTGGTAACTGGGACAAGACCTCTTGTCAGGCTTTGAGCTGGCTCTTACTGTTCCACACACGCAGCCTGGTGGGGAGTAGCCCGTGCTTTTAAAATTCATTGTAATTCAATTAAATCATTGAAACAGAATCTATTTTTAATTATTTAACCCAAAAAAATAGTATTTTTAATTACATGACCTTGGGAATAATACAGGCTCTTCTAAGCTGTCATGTTAATTTATGAGCGTATTCAATCCCACTATTCACAGATGGTACAGTATATATTAAAATTTAGGCAGTTGGGAAGCTCTACTAACGACTCTACCAACGTTGGTGAGGAAATTATGGTTATCCGAAATTGATTGTTTATAATATTGTAATTTTCAGTATTTGAAAAGTTCAAACTCAATTCGCATACCTTTCTGTCAGAACTCGGTATCACTTTTTTTTTTTTAATGATTATTATTATTTTTTGGGGGTTTGTCTGCCGTTCTTGTCAGAAAATGAATAACTGGATGCTGCATCTCCCAGAAAAAGTCAGAACTCTTATTCTATGAAGGATATCGATGATATAACGAAATCAGAATACATTTCAGGAGAAAAACTGCAAATTGGGATTATTGTGCCAACAATTGCACTTAGACAGAAGCAAGAGGTAATGAATCTTCTGAGGAATCTGATCAACAGAGGAAGGAAAAAAATGATCTCAACATCAAATAAGATAAGCCCAAATAATAGTGGACGGTGATCAAATAACTCCAGCATGTGACAACAGGTTGGTCGTCTGAAACGTTGAAGGATATTATCCTCAGAAGGATTCAGTAGGGAGATGCATGTTTAGAGGCTTCAACCGACATGAACATGATGAAGCATTGGTGTGAGAGTGAACACACTGGATGAGGACTGGGGATGAAAGGCCATCATATGCCCCCTGTGGGAGCATGCCTGTGCGCTTCAGAGGCCGCCTCCATGATCCTGTATTGTGCTCTGGGTTATGATCTTCTGTCTTGTGATTTTTTTCTTCTTTTTTTTTATTATTAATCACAGATATTCTCTTATTAAAAATAATTCTATTTTAGACACTGTCAAGTATTAAATACATATATTTCCTTTAAGAGGGTATTGAATCTTCATTCGCTCGCAAGTAACTAGTCCTTTCATTTTGTCCATTTTAAATTTAAACCCAAGTATTGCTTTCAATTTGGGCCCTATTTTTGTGAGGTTCATCATTCGGAACATTATATCAGTTTTTCGCTTGTTTTTCTAATTAAATTGCTCCTGCTTACTGTTTACATATAATGCGAAATTCAGCCGGCTGATTCGTGTATTCTTGGCATTATGCTGTTCAGTTCCTGTCTACAATCAATGCACAATCGATTAAGGTGGGTGGATTATTGTCCCTTCATTTTTGGTTAAAAGATTGAGGAGCACGCATAGTTTGGATATATGATTGTATTTCCATATCTTGCAAGGAGAGTTTCTTTCTCAACACTCAATGCGATTTGTAATCTCAAAGCATATCCTCTTTGATTTTTTTTTCCTTTTAAATTTTAAAACACACATTCAACAAATATCTTTTTCAAAAAATGACATTTGAACCCTGACATGGTGAAAACAACGCCCCACAACAGAAAAGATTCATTTCCACATTTATATTCTTTCCTATTATACGTTTTGAATTTAGGCAAATGTTTTATTTTGATAAAAAAAACAATGCTCGCAATTATTATCCTTTATTAGTGACTCTTTATCATGACATTTATTCACCTTCCATTTTATTAATAGAAAACTAGACGGGGGGAACATGCTTGCGTGAAATTTGGAAAATGAGCTATATTATTCCTGCTTTCTCAATAATTTGGCATCTTCTGGATTATCTATTGATTATGTATAATACATGACAGCATATCAAAAAGAAATAATAAATAATTAAACATGACACTCAAATCCTTCAATCCTCTAGGCAAGGTGCACAAAAAAATAATTGGGGTTTAGCACAACTCCATTCAGAACGCTTTTCCAGATATTTGCACGACTAATTCCAGGAACTTCTTTGGACAAGACAGCGCTGCTCCGCACAATGCAGGTATTCGAACTCCAAATATATCAGAGTTCCTCTCCGCGGCTACATGGGCGAGATGACGAGATGGTGGCATAGGCATAAGAAGCTTGAACAGTAATTAGAAAGCATTGGTCTTAATTGGGAGAGACGCTTGAAGATGAAAATGATTGCTGTTTTCACTTTTCAACGAACCTGATGAGCACCAATAGGGAGTTGCATTGAGCCTCATGGCTTGGCGTCTCGCTTTTGTTTTCCCTTTCATTTTTCTCTTTTCACTTAATTCGCTTGGTCTTTTACACCAATTCAATTTTTCACGTACTGTGGTTCACATCTGGTTCCAGTTTCAAAATGGCAGCACGGGCTCATACGCTGACCTTTCAGATGGAATACTTCATGTCCATACCATGATGCCAAGCTTGCAAGACTTTTATCAGCAATCAAGATAAACCTAACCTCTAAGCAAGGATATATAAAAACATCAAATACGTTTGTTAGCTAGAACGGAGTTCTTGCGTAGCAGTTTGTCATCCTGTAAGTCTTGGTTTGTTAAAGCAGATGTAGATTGAAGCTTGTTCTTGTACTAGTTAATACACTCACAAAGTTACCAGCATCCTGTAATCAATTTTATTATTTCTCTCCGGTGCACTTTCCTTCTCATTTCTTCATATCTACTTTCTGTAACCCAAGCGTGGTCTAAGTTTTCCGTCCATTGACCACAATTTTTGCCGAAGTTTGCTTGCCTGAACCGTCATGCACCGATGACCTTGTCTAGGGGTGGGAAACTTGGCAGAGAATCCCATTCCCTTCCTTAACTGCTATCTTTTATCTGATAATCCCATGGCATCCACTGTCAATGAACAGGGTCACCAGTGAGGCCATGTTGCGGAAGCGGTTCTCTTGCCAAAACTGTTGAAAAAATAAAGTTTTTATGCAAACTTTTATTATTATTCCGCTATAATTTCAATGAAGTGATTCATTTGCTATTCTCTGATGATGCTTGGATTCCTTGAGTGTCACTAAAACTACACTTGAGGATTCGGGAGTGATAGTAATCCATTTCGGATATTTCGGGTGATGCAACAGCCACGGTTGGTTCCAGCGCCATGTCTCTTCATACAAGGACTTTACTATTACAATCGTCAATGGCAAGATTTAAACTGATGGATGCCATGAACAATTGAGAAAAGATAGCGCCTTCCCCTGATTCTCAGATATGTACCCAAGTCATCAGATGAAATGAACAGTCAGAATTTTGTTGAAATGACTTCGAGCATATCCTCTTTTGAGTAGCAAAAGGAAAAAAAATATTTCTCAAAACCTCTTTCCAGATAACAACGCATCTGATCCAGCAGCAGAGATATATGATGTACACTAATTGGAATATTTTGCCCCTTCGGGAAAAAAATATTCAAGGTATTTGTCGACATATATGACAAAATTAAATTCATTTCAATGTATGAGGTGGTTGATTAGTTGAATTCAGCTTGATGTCCGGTTTTCAATATAAACGCATTGACCACAACAGCAGCACTGACTGACAAATAAGATAGAGATGAACGGGAAGCAGATAATGCAGCAGAGACATCAAATTCTGAGTCGCCATGTGCACTTATAAATCCTGAACCTTAGAACCACCCCAAAATTCAATATTAATTTAAACCCGGCCTCTGTTTTTGGACTTTTGGTTGTAATTACCAGTTGAAATTTATATACATAATCGACAACATTCGTCGGACGTCAAATGTTCTTGTCTTTAAGTTTGGAAACTTGCGCCAGAACATCGCACACAGGCCCCACAAACATCGACGGAATTTCTGGAAAGCCTCAGCGAGAAAAGGCGTAGAGCACGAGAACAATGTAGATGACGAGTGCCAAGGGAACGAGAAAAAGCAGGGGACCAACAGCTGCAAAAGTGTAGTGACTTCCACAAGCCAAAGTTCCCAACTTGATCTGCACAAGATTCATCAGAGCCATGACCAAGAACCCACATCCAAAAACCGATCCAATAGCCGAAACGAGAATCCCCATCCGGAGAGCCAAAATGTCAACCTTCATCACGAGACTCAAGGCGTCATTGCGCACGCCAGCAACACCCAGAGCATCGGCTTCCTCCACACCCTTACTGATGTTGATGGCTTGTTTGAGAGCCAAGGCGATGAGGCTCGAGAAGAGGAAGAAGCTGAAGGAGTAGACGTGGTAGGTGATGAGACCTTCGGCGACAGAGGGCCCGGCGACGCAGGTGGTGCCGGCGTCCACGAGGGTGGAATAGGTATTGGTAGAAGTGATACCGAGGAAGAGCGCCAAGGTGAAGAGTGAGTTTACGTTGACTATGCCATCTAAAGCCATGATGTGGATGCTCGTCGTGGTTACTCGGCGGCGTAACACGGCAGACATTTCTTGTGAGCCGGTGGATGAAGAGGTGGAAGCAGGAGCTGGAGGGTCATCCTTTTGTTTGTTTTCAGAAGGCGAATTTGCTTTTTGATGAGTGTTTCCTTGTAACGAGTGTGATGGTGGCGTAGAAGATTGAATTTAGGATCCAATAATAACTTGCTTGCTGTGGCAAGGAATCGCGCTGAAGGGGAAAGAGTAAAATGCAAAACACTAAAACGCCGTTGCCGGGGATCGAACCCGGGTCGCCCGCGTGACAGGCGGGAATACTCACCACTATACTACAACGACCATGTTGAGCTGCTGAAGACTTGAATATTAACAAGAGGCAACAATTTTGGTGAGCAGTGAGCCCCCACTGAAACTGGAGGGATCTAATATGAATGCAGTGAAGTGTGCCTCAGGAAAAGGTGTCCATTGCTCCTGAGGATTGAGGTGCAAAACGGTTCATCAAAAACCCGCTCGTGCTTGACCACATGGGGATCGGAGTCAATCGCAGAGTCTCTCATCATTCTTGAATGGGCAGACGAGACATGGGAAAACAATCCCCTGTCGCCACAGGATCCTCAGGACGAAGCCGAGTCCTCCTTTTGGGCCCAACCCCTGCATGCATAAGGCGGACCACGGTCTTGAGCACTTCGTTCGGATGAACAAGAATCAAGATTCGATGCCATCTATTTTTATTTTGGGGTTGTGGCTGGTTTATTACTGTAAAGAAAGCCATGTTTGACGCAGAAAATGAATTGTTGAAAATGCGAGACAGGGAAAAGAATGTATAGGAAATGATTTTACTGGTTATTTGGAAATCGTTGTACTGCTCCCCTTCTTCTCCGAATGATCTGCAATACAGAGTACTCCTAATTTGACATCTTCAACCAGTACTCTCATCCAAAAGCACATCTTGCTCACAGGCCTCCAAAGCTGCATCCAAACAGAGGTTTCGAGCACTGGGCAAAAAGGCAGATTCTGGACTCAGCCATCCCAATCAATGAATCAATTCATGAGTTAAGTTTCAAGCTCGAGTTTTGAGTCTCGGATTAGTGCAGATGCCTTATCTGAAAATCATTTACATTTAGATACATATCCTTATTTGATGCTGAGTTGTTTGCTATTGGTGAATAAATTTTCCCATCGAAGTTTACCGGGGTGGTCATTTCATATTGACTTTATCATACAAGAAGCGAAATTAAGTCCGTGAATTGAAGCTCCAGTCTTAACCTTTATCCACTCAGTCCACCCACTACGGATCCCTATCATGCTCTTCCGTCAACACCACTTTGAGTGTTTAACTTTGACTTTGGTTGGGTGGTTCTGGCATTTATCTATGAGAAGTCGCGTAACTTTCTTATCAAATTGAACAAATATATTTAAAATAAAACGAATAAGATGTATAGTCAGAGAGAAAGTTGTAAACTTGTAGTTACAACTGTGAAATAGAAAGCAGGATGTTCACAAGGGGAAGACGATACAGAAGAAATTGAATAATTGAAGCGGAGTTTTGGTTGCTTGGGATTTTGTTGAAAGTTAGATGGGGCTTCACCAGTCTTATCATAACTACCGTCTTTTTCTCCTGCGGCCGGGTATCCGTCACCACTCGCTTGAATCATTCTATCAGCTACTACTAAACCATATAATAAAGTCACGAATCTCACTTTTGAAACCTAGTTATCTGTATTATAGTACATGATCAATTGTTAAATATGTCTTTGCTTAATTTAACCTTTTTGTGGTTATCAAGTACGCCACCGAATGAGTCATCCGTCGATATGGTTTTAAGAATGACTCGGCGGGTGTGCTGTTGGGGAAAGTGGGCAATTAGAAATTAGTTGTGAAGGCTTGACGAGATCCATGAGATGATGTCCAGGAAAATCTTGTTGTTATACATGTTCCCATCTCTGCTTTTAAAGACTCAATCAATCACACGGCTTTGGGGGTGCTATGGGACAATTGTTTATAATAACTGTGTGATGATGCTGTCTCACGAGCTCGGCATTAGAGTGGGAAGGCAATATGCATTCAGTGACTCACACCTAAACAACAATCAGCGGACTTTATTGACTTTAAAGGACACACATGAACGCCAAATTTAACAGCTAAACCATTAAAACTAGAGACAAAACCCCATTAATTTCTGGTTACTACGCAAATAGTACACACACCCCATACCCCCTGTAATGTCTTCTTGTTAATTGGGACCCACCCTCCCTGCTCAACTCCATTTTTTTCCACAATTCGACCCCCATCCAACGCAAACATAAAATTTACTTGGAACTCCGTTTAAAAGCACTTTTAAGTAAGTTTACATAAATCAAGATAAAACTCTTTTCAACTTAGTTCATATTTCATAAATCACATTTAAAAAATTACTTATAAGTCAATCTAAACAAACCTATAATGTATTGGCTAAACAGCATAGATATGTTTACATACCATGAGACTTCTTGCAAAAGACCTAAACTTTCCTGTCTGCTTCCCCCCTCAAACTATGACTTGATTCATATAAAAGATTTGATTTAACCCAAAGGAATAACTCTGGCACACTAGTGTCGGCGAAAGAACTTCCCTTACTTTTATCCCATTAAAAAAAGAAATTGGAACATAAACGTATTTCTTTTTCTGGGCCAACAAACGTCTTGATTTCAACCATGCATTATTGTCGCCCATCTACCCCATATAAATCCACTAGGAAGTTTAGATAGTGGTATTAGTTTCGACTCCAGTCAGTATAACTGAGCCTCGTATTTGTATATTTGAGTTGGTGGGGTATTTTGAAGGAAATATGTCTGGAATTGAGAGTGGTGGAGTCTGGAGCGGTTTCCCCGGGTAGCCTTTGGATGCCACTTCTGCTGCCAAGTCGTCAACAAATGGCAGTTGAGGTGAGTCGGACAGCTGTGTGAACCGTACGGCCCAACTACTAAAGCCGATCTCTGCATCTCTCGAGCTGACTCATTCTCTCTTTCTCTCTCTCAGACATTACCGCTGGCCCCACCCTACCCTCACCCCTTCATCACCGACTCCTCCTCCTCCTTCGGCTTTAAGCCTTTAAGGCCCCCCACCCCCTTCGTCTCCTTTGAAATTCATTTATGTTTCTCTCTGTTTGTGCTCAATTGCCTCCCTTTAAAACTGAACCTTCTCTAATTCCCCGGCCCCTCTCGTCTTCACTTGCTACTTTCAAGTTCTCTCCGTCTTCTCTCCACCCTCTCTCTACTAATTATTGTAGCTTCTCCGACCAGTAACTGCCATTATTGCCAATCATCTATCCCATCTGGCTTCAACCATAACCCTGCTTCCCTTTTCATGATGGCTGTTGACCTACAGACTGGTGAATCCACGCTTCCGTCTCAGTTTGTTCTTGACAAGGACGATCATGTTCTCTCTGAGTACCACAATTTCTCCAACCAAAAAGCCTCCGCTTTAAACCCCCACGAGTTTGGATCCCATAGAGCTTCTCTCGTTCCTACGGCCGAGGCACAGAGCAACAGCGACAAGGACGACGATTTCATCTCTGAGCTTACTCGCGAGATGGCTCACTTCATGTTTGAGGATGACGACCAATTCCGCTTGTCGGGCATTGGCTCTAGCGATTTGGAGATGGTACTACTTTTTTTTTGTTTTAAATTTATCTCTATGCTCATAAATTCAATAGGAAAAAAAATTTTGTTGTTTTCATGTTCGTTCTTTACCGTAATCGCTAGAAGTTAGTAATTTTTTTCCTGTTTTGTCCCGTCGTGTTTTTCCTTATCGCCAAGTCATGGGATTCAACTGATTCGTCCCAATCCACTCTCTGGTCGCCGTTGGGCTCAATCCAAGGGAGCCCAGAAGGCCCTTCTCTGGAACCAACGCCGCCAGCTACGCCCTGTGACGGCAAAAACTCTTGGCCGGACACCGCTTGCGACGTCGTTGGGATGTTTGAGAAGATGAACAACGACGAAAGAGGGCATTCAAAATATCTCCACGGTTATGGGAATCACAGCTTCAACCAAGCTCTCATTGACCAACAAATTCGAGCTGTTCAGGTAAGATAAACCGTGATATCCTCGTCTTCTTGGGAATAGTGAAAATTACTCAGCTTTATATAATTACTCACTTTGTCGGACATTTTATTTACATGAAGCAGTTATCTCGCCTAAATCAACAGCAGATTGTGAAGCAAAAGCTCGCTGCATATCCTGAAAGCCAAGCCCAGATGCCGCATCAGTCCGAACTCAGCCAACAGATTCAACAAGTTCAGAAGAAAGGTAAAGGTAGCAGCGTCGGGTCGGGTAATGCGCGCAGGAATCATCCGCCACCCCTGTTCACTTCAAGCACCCCAGCTGGGTCGGGCATGGGAGCGGTTTTTCCTGGAGGGTCTGGTTCGAAAACCGCGTCTTGTGGGACCGGCGTGTTCCTGCCTCGCGTGAACACTGCTCCGTCTGAATCACGCAAGAAGCCAGGTAATACGAAGATATGAATTCGGTTCGTTAAGTTGCTTCAAGATTTGGTTGTCTATTCTTCTAGTTCGGGAGTCGTTGAAGTAGTTGGCTCTGAAATGGAATATCAACCATCTTAAATCTTAATTTAACGATTCATTGCGAGTTAGTGTCCGAATTTGTTGTCTTCCCCTTTGAAAGATGCGTTTTAACCCGGAATGTGGAATCCCCTCAGCCTGCGGGCGGTCGAATATTCTATTAAATGCAGCACATGACCGCTCGATCCAAAAAGTTAGATTCTTTGAGCATGATAAGAGAAGAAAAACATAAAAAGATTTTTTTTTAATTTAATTTGGTGGCAGAAATATAAGATGGGGGTTCGGATATTTCCGTCTAAAAAGTTGATGTGTGCTTGTCAGGTTGCTCCACTGTATTGATACCGGCCAGAGTGGTGCAGGCATTACAACTCCACTTTGACCAAATGGCTGCCACGTCTGGGCCCAAAGCCAGCGGCTTCCCTCCTCTGCGAGGTATCCCCATTTCTGAACCTGCCCCATCACACTCTGATATTTATTATTCAACCACATAAGTTGGCTTTGATTGAAAGTGGCTTGAGGAAGAAGCCAGCTGGGTATAGAAAATAGCGTAGCAGTTGGAGAGTGGTGTGATACTACTACCGCCATTTGACTAACAATAGTGGTTAATTGCAGAAGTTCTGGTGAGTGACAAGGACGGCATGTATTCGCTGCAGAAGCGACAATCACGGAAGGAGCCAGCAAATTTGCAGAACGAGACGAGGCTGCCTCCGGAATGGACTTATTGAGGAGGGGCGTGGTCATGTGAAGGATTTCATGATGCTGTTTTGGCAGTTTTAGAACCAAAGCAGAAAGAAAATAGAAGGGCCCGAGAGGAATCAACAGCAAAGTTGAAGAAGAGAGAGGGGAATCTTTTTAGAGGGTCGTTAGTAAGAATCAAGGTGAATAGTACCAGATTGAGAATATTCTGTAGATTCGTCTGTGTTGTGTTTTTGTTTGGTGGGGTTAGACTCTTCAGTCAGACACGTGAAGATGGGAGAGAACAAGCGGTGGAATGATTTTTTTTTTTTTTCACAGTTACAGGATGATAATAAAGCTTTTGTATAAAGATGAAACAGAACAAGAGACCAGTGCATCACAGGGCAGTGGCATCGCTGCTAAGCTGGGTGGGATTGGGGGTAAAGATAGTGACTTTAGTATTGAGGATGCATTTTAATAATCCTTTGTATTGGAATACATAAATAAATATGCTGAGCCTAGCAATGTTAACTTTGGCTGTTCTTCTGTGTTGCTACTTGCTGGTATGCATAAGCCGTTCACATGACTTTATGTTAATCGCAAAGCATGAATCTTGGTGAGGGTGGACTTGGCAAAAAGACAACGGAACTCATTTAGCATGCAGAATAAAGGCATAATTTCTTTAACCAAAAATAAAAATGACACCAAGAGGCGAAAATTTTGTGCGTGTGGGTGGGATGAAGATCAGTTGCTTTCTCCTCAACTATAGCTTCAATCTTTACTTTTCATTTTAATTTTTATTTAAATATTTGAAGTGGTTGGGTTTCCAAAAATTTATTAGAATCAAGCTAAGCTCCATAAGTTAAGAAAACAATAAAAGTATTTATAAATTACCAAACAGCTGTTGTTGGAATGTTGATAGCAAGTTGAGGTTTGTGTTCTTATTTTTATTGACTTCTTTTAAGAGAAATTTTGTTCTGAGTAACAGCAAGTGGGTATCAATTCTTGTTTTTTAGATATATAAAAAAGGATACAATAAATAGGGTGGGTTGAAGTCAAAGGGTTGGGGGAGGGGGAGGGGAATGGGAGGGAAGTGGGTGTGGCTAGACAAGGGGACGCTTCCCTACCTGTATCTATGGCTGTATCCATCATTGTTTTGAGGCCATCCAGTGCATCGCGCGATAACTCAAAAAATTCATTTAAAATATTCATATTTACTTTTAAATATTTAGAACATTCCAGTACCATGAAAAAAAAAAATTTGGGGGGGGGGGGTTGCGAATGTATTGAAAAGATTCTGAATAAATATGTTCCAATAAATTAAAAAATCATTAGTTATATGTCACAATTCACATCTGTATGACTTTTTAAAATACACACACACACACACTTTTTACTGCTGCATAAAAAGTGTTTGAAACCCTTAAGTTTTCTTGATGTGCCCAAATAATACAATTAAATATAGCTACTTGCCCAAAACAAATTTCAATTAGTTCATAACCTTTAAGAATTAGTCTAATCATGCGCATCGTAAATTGATATTTTAAGTATACCTATTAATAAAATAATTATAAACTTCCATACATTGTTTGTCACCATAATATGCTCTTCTTGTTTTATTTATAAGGCAAAACAAGAATTTTTTTATCTTATTTATAAATTACTTCATCACACCCTTTATTTATTATTTATAAGAACAAAACATTAAAATAAAATACATATTAATATGAATAAAGTTAAAAATTATTAAATTTTAAATCATAATTAATAAGATTTAAGAATTTTTAGTCTAATGAAATATGTTGTGAGTGTCTTATAAGTAAAATTATAAGAGTAAAATTATAAGAGTAGTTGCAAATGCAAAAAGAGTTGCTTGAAATCTGTAATTGTTTGTTGATGTAGGCTAATCTTTTCAACGTAATTAATTAAGTGATTCACAAAGATTTTGGTTATTTATTATTTTTATGTAGAAATTGTGCTCTATTTTTCCTAAAATACTCCTCTTCATCCATTAAAGCGTGAGAAGAAGTAGAAAATTAATGAAAAAAATAAGGGAAAAGAAAATTGAAGGTTTTGATCTATTAAATAACTTCATTCGTTAGCAGGAACCGTATTCTGATGAAAATGACAATGAAGGTGCCAGACTGCCAGTAAATAATTGGTGACGAAAACCATTTAATTTGGGTTACCCCGCAGTTAAGAGGAGCTGTAATAAATCAAGAAAACAGTAACAAACTTTCTTGACAGGCCCTCACTCTGCCAACTAATTATTACCTAATAAATATTCTGTTAAACTAAGCTTTCACTCCAAAATGCGATTAATAATAATCTCACCCCTCCTGTTTATGTGATATTCTTTCACTAATAATCCTGATTACGAGTATTTAATTTTCTTACTGCAACTCATTGTAGCTTGCTAGCTTTCACCGTAATTTAGGCCCACCATAGAAGAAACAGCCCTAACACATTTCAAATGGTATAATTTACTATTAATTAATACCAGGCAGGAGTGCATAATGAGAGGTGCTAACAAAGCTTGCAACCATGCATGCTCTTGAGTTTAATATATGCAAAGAAAAAGACTGCTCCTCCTTGTGAAGAAGGTAAATGAATAGCACTGCTTTTTTTTTTTTCCCCTTGCTGGGGAAAAAAAATCATTAATTTTTTCGTATACCTAACTAATTAACTTTACCAAGCGGCGAAGTTTGGGTAAAGATTCATCATTTAGGTCTAAACTAATCTCGATGCGGCTAAAAAAAAAAAAAAAGAACCAAGGTTGAAAAATATGTATTTTTTAAAGCTCTTAATAAATGATTTTTCACCTATTAAATAACTTCATTCATCAGCGAGAAACCTATTCGAGCCGAATAAACTTTTGGTCGATTATTTTAAGAAGGGGGCTTGGATGAACATGGCTTGAAATTGGACGAGCACGGGCCCTGAGCTTCTGATGCCGTAGGCACGTGTATCTGTATGCTGAGTTTTAAAAAAAAAAAAACAGAAGAATAAAAATAGAGGCACAGCCTTCGAGTTAAAGATGGAGGAAGCTTTAACTTGTTTCTTCTAGTAGTATTTCATTGTTAAAAAAAAAAAAAACACTTGTTTCTTCTATTTAGTGAAGAGAGACATTATAATTAATATTGTGTGAGAGGCATGTGAAGCTGTTTGATGCAGTAATATACATATAAAGGTCAAGCAGCTTAACATATTTTCATAGCCGCGTCTAATATTTTAAACTATTTTATGATTCATCAAATATACTTAAATATTTTTTTTTCAATACCCTAAAATATTCTTTTAAAATATTATCATCAGCCTTATAAATGGAGTGTATTTAAAATACACCCTTTGCCTCTTTCTCTCTCTCTTCTAGGCATATATATATATATATATATATTTAAGACAATTGTATTTAAGATACTTACTAAATATGAGCATTTCTCCCAATAGGTATTTAAATCTTGGTTCCTTGCATTGTAAAGAACAAGTCCTTTTCGTTAGACCTAATTTTCTTACACCTCTTTTGTGGCAAAGGAATTGGTCTCTTAGTAAATACATGCATTTTGTATGTATTTTTGTGAAAGAATGTGAGCAGAAATGGGCACATCATCCCTGGCGAGGTGGATAACAACATTTAGGGAGTGATTGATTAATTCTCATAAAAGTTGAGTGTTGATCTATCTTTCATGTTACGTTTGAAGATGAGAATGAGAGTGACGGAAGGAATATAATTAATGAGCAATTCATTTGCTACGTCAACACTCATATTCGATGCTGGATCGGAATCACGTCGTTATGGGCCTCTCACTTTACGATTAAAATGCTCCAATCTATCTAATACCCTCTTGTATGAATGTCAAAGTCACGCGTAAATGTTAACTAGCTTTTTCTTCTTTTCTTTTCTTTTCTTTGTTTTTTTTTCTTTGAAGAAAAGGCGGGTTTATATATAATAATTGAATCAAATTGCACCATCACTTGACAGGATGACAGAGATCCTTTTGCAGGTCTGGTGAGTTGGGGCAGTATCTTTTGGGAGAGATTCCGCCAATACTTAAGACATTCACACAGGGCCGATCATGACCCCGGAAGGGACTGATTTGATCTCAGAATGGAATCATCAAGAATCAAATTAAAGATGGGTGACTGCATTAATAATAATATTGCATGGAATGATTATCGCAATAATAACTGGGTCTTGTGGCGCCAACGTGAATTGCAAGAAAACGAAAGGCAATTATTAGAATTTAGAAGCAGCCAGAGCTGGATTTTCCAAGAAGTTGCCCATATGGAATTGATCTGATGATATAATTTGTAGATTCTCGAGAAATCAGTTTAAGTGCATTTAATATTTTTGTTTTATGAAAAGTGTTCTTCCTTTAATAGGTGCATAATCTAAAATAAGTATAATCTTTTAACTATAAGTTTTTTAAGACAAATTTTTTACTTAAAAATCACTAGTTGAAAATTTTAAAACTAGACTATTAAGAGTGATTTTGAATAGTTTAGATTTCATTACAGTGATGAGTATTTTGATGCTTGGCATGCTAAATCTTGCACTTGATGAGATATATGGATGATTCCTTCATTATCTCCTTCCAAAGCAAACTAATCTTGGAACAAAAAGTAAATATTTAACTTGTCATCCGGGAGAATATATAATCGCTTTCCTTCTTCAACGAATGAAATAAATAATACTCTACTTTTTTTTTCTCTTCTAAACTCTTTCTACAAACAGTAAATATTAGAAGATTTTTCATCTGAAAACAATTTTAAAGTATGCGAAGGGGTACTTTTTTTCAAAAAATTAACACACATTTTTAATAAATACTAACTTAACTAATTCTATTAATTTTATAAATTAGTTATTTAATGTGTTTAGTGGTGGAGGATTAGAAACCAAAAACCTTTAACTAGCACAATTTAGAATGGATCTGAATATAACATTGCTTTTTTTATAACGACCTTTCATGTTTGAATAATGGTTAATATAATATTTTCCCTTAGTTTTAATTTTAATATGGGTTTTGTTCTTTTAAAAGGCAAATTATGAAGATTTTTATTAAATTAGAGGAATCAATATTTTAAATGAACAAAACTTGAGTGACTAAAACCTCTATTTTAAAACTCAAAGAATTAAAATTAAAATAAAAATAAATTCGAAGGACAAAAAATTTGCATAACTCTTGAATAAAAATATAAAACCTCCCAAATCCGCGTCACGGCGTGCTGCTTCATCGATTCCACTTGGATTACGTGTTCGGCTATGATTTGGGCAACCTGATAAGTTGAATTGAAAATGGCAGTATGGTAATTCGGAGGGCACGAATGGATGACGTTGGAACGAAAGATAAGTTGGGAAAAATGACGCATAGGAATGGGGATGGATGTGGCCCGCAACAAAAAAAAGCCGAAGCCCAAACACATTTGGGTTTTAACCCGACAAACTTACACAGTGGTTAATTACTTAATTAATTAAAAGATAAAAAGGGAGCAGCAGCCATCTGGCACATAATCTCTTCAGGTAAAATTAGTTCCATGCCGTAGACATTATTATATTTTGTAAATACATCCATGCTTTTGGAAATTAAAAGGTTCCTGACGAATCACGCGTCTCATTATGTACACACAAAAATCTTATTAACTTTTTTCTTTCAATTAATAAATTCAACTTATTAAATGCATGAAACGCGCACTTTAATAAAACACATTAGGAATGCTTTGATTCTGAATAATATCAGTATGAGTCATGTACATTGAACCAATTAAAGCTGTTATTGAATGATTCGGAGCGTATACATGGAGGGCTAACACAATGGAGCCCATGTATCTTTTTGGGGGGGGGGGAATAAAACAAATAAGAGCATTTTAATAAAATAGAATTAAAATTTAAACCATTTAACAGCATTCTCGATATGAACCTTAAACAACACATTTATTTTGAAATGAGGGGCAACGTAAAAGGTCAAAATTGGAATGCTCCTGCTGCTCAATAAATGGCCTTACTCACGGGGCTTCATTTGGAATGATTCTCGTTTTGCCGCTTGGAGCCTCCATGACTCACACATCTGCCTTCTTTCTCCATAAGGCCGTATCTATCTCCCCACGATTCAATTACTCCCTCCCCATCGCCTTCTTCCTCGCCTCGTGCTTACCAACCCCACCCCTTCATGTATGTCTCTCACTTCGATTTTTTTCTTCTTCATTATATTCATTTCTCTCCCAGTTAAACGTACATAACCCAAACACCCAAACTGAGTTCCATCGGCACAGAATAGACTCAACCATATATATCTAATTACCAAATTCTCGAAAAGAGTACTTCATTTTAATTGTAGAGGAATGATAGACCTCATACTTAATTCGTAAAGTAGTTACACATCATTACCAGGAAACGAAAGACATTTGTAATATATAGAACATACTGTGGTTAACAAGTGATGGGAGGAAGATCAAACTGTTTTTGGCGGTCGGATTCATGAAAAGCCGCGCTAGCAAAGAAGAAAAAGCCGATGGCGTGGCCAGCAACAACAACCAAAAACACAGGGACATTGAAAGACATGAGTGCCAACATCACCAAATAAGAGAGGGCAGTCCTGAAGGTGTGGACAAGGGTCTGAACCAAGGCGCAGGCGAAGCGGTTGGAACCAGGCTTCAGGAAGCGGCAATGGGAAAGGCACTCCACAAGAATGGCCATGGAAAACACAATGAGCAAGGCGAAGAGGAACATGGCAGTGTTGTCCCCAGGCCAATAGGTGAAGAGAATTTCAGCCTTATTGCCCCAGTAAAAGGTCATGTGCATCATCATCTTGTGTCGCGTGCTCGTGGTGCCATTCATGGAGGCGGACATTGATGAGGGAGATGGAGGGGGCGTCTTTGACATGCCTTCCATATCGGTGTTGAGGGTGGGTGAAGAGAACGCTCGTTGGAAGTAGAAATATGAAGAGAGAGCTTCAACTGGGGACATAGTGCGGTGGCAACATAAGAGGGCACTCACTCCCAAATCCCAATAAACCCTTATCACTTTCTTGTGTCTCTCCCCTCTCTCCACGTAGCTGCGTGAGTTGAAATCGGTCATGTCTAATTAAAATATATAAAAGTACTCATAAAAAAATATTATCTAAATAAATTATACAATATGCTCTCAGTTAAATTCTGCATTTAATAAACATACAATTAAATCTGTTTCACCTAAAAAATTTACTTCCTTTTTCAAATTCAACAACAACGGAGAGCAACTCAAAATACATATCTGGCGGTGTCAATGTCAAGCCAATGCTGAATATATCCTTTATATTTTAATGACTTGTTTTTATGAATAATAAATGAAAAGTATAATTGTAAATTCATATAAAATATATAGTAATAACCTATAAATATGACAATTTTTTTTTATTACTTTATCAATAGGAACATCGAAATACACACACACGCACTATATGCACCACAGACATTGTGAATGTACGTGGGAGCTTAACGACCCAACAGTTGGACCTTAACAACGAAATAATGAGCTGTTTCAAAATCAATGGCATTGTGCAAAATATGGGTTATATGGAAATGAAAAACACCAGTCGAAGAAATTGAAAAACCTTCTAACAAGGGGTTAACGGTGAGGAGTTTTAAATATTTTTAATTATTAAATGGTTTATTTTTTTAATTTTCAAATAAACATAATAAATTTTTGCAAAACTTAATTTCCCACCAAACCAATTCTTGAGTGAAGTTTATGCCATCATCTAACCAGTAACGCCACCTGGGATGCTCCAAACTGAAGCAACGCAAGAAGTTGGGCTCGAAATCCAATCAAACCCAGTACCAATCCAACCAAAAAGTCAATGGCCCAAGGACATGCTCCCAGTCTCTCTCGCACACACCCACCACATCCAAAATGCCACCCATGGAGTTCTTAATGCAACCAATTCACACATGAGCTCAACTGAGTAAACATTTTATTCCATTCTTCCACAATCAACAAAACAGTCTGTGGCCTAATTTGGTTGATGGGGCAAGGCAAAGCATGTTCTTCATCACACAGACTCATCAGGGGAGTGGCTATCTATTATAATACTCGGAACAGCGGACCAAATAAGGTCGACGGCTGCTGGTGGGCAGCTATTATCCACGATTTGCTGGCAACTTTGGCAGCAATGGAAGTTTGAAAGTGAAGTTCGACTCGATCATTTACAACACAAGCCATGCGGGAAGGAAACTAAGTGGGAGTTATTTCAGTGGCTTCTTAATGAAGTTGACATAGGCATCCATCCTGATGCAGACATTCTCATGGAAGCAAGGAGTTACAATTGATGGAGACTGGACAGCAACGATCGATTGTATTCCTCGGAATGCCAACATTGCTGCGGATTTTCTCGCCGAGCAGGCGCTGAATACTGTCATGGGACACCGTCCTATTAGTTATGATATGATGCTGCAGGATTGCTCTAGTCACTTAGAAGCAGGGTAGTGATTGGGGAGTTCCCTGCTTTGCATAGTCAAAAATACAAAACAAAAAAACAAAAGAACTGATACAAAGAGTAACATGCATAGGATGGCGAAAACATTAATATCTTCGCAGAATCCTTACCAGATATTAGAAAACTCATTCAGAAAATCATCATTCACAAAAATAGAATGCTTTTTCTGCATTCCATGGTTAGCCCAACCATTACAACTCTCAAAATATCCCAAAAGGTCACACTAGCATATTAAGATGCACATTACGTGATTCCTGACATACCATACCGGGAAGACTGATTCTCCTGTTGCTCGCCCTTCCTTATAATAGAATCTTTACCTGAAAATTATAAACAGAGGAGTGAGATGTGAAAACCTAGCAGCTGAAGCCAAAACATTAACTGGAATCGCCAAAAATAAAGTATCAATCATATGACTTTAAAAGCATCTAGACATATTCAACCAATTACAGCAACACAAGGCCGTAGGTGTATTGATACATCACATAAAATTAAATGGTTAGTATATTAGGTAGGAACCCACATTATATTTTATAGTTTCTCTCTATCCTGCAGTTTATTGAGTTGCTCGCTGGTTGTTTCACATTTTGAAATGTCCATAAGAGGACGTAGTTAAGTGAGCAGTAACCATTCCAGCTCATATTTCACATCTCACATTGAAACAGTTCTTTAAAGGGAAAAAGAAACACATATTAATTAGGGCCAAGTTGAATAGAATCACATGGCATGACATCAACATTGTTAATAAACAACAAATTATTGATCTTATATACTTTAATAACATTTCATAATGTTAATCGTCAAACTATAATTTGCTGGGGGAAAACATTATTGAAGAGTTGATGAGGGAACAAGGAGGGCGCAATAATGGTGCTGACTTCTGTGACGCTCGGTGAAGCATCAAGATTAGGTTCAAAGAATTGGCCCGCCGTCAACGAAAGGGAATCAAAGCACGCATTTCCCTTAAGCATACATGGCAGGTTTACTTTTACTCATCCAAAAAGTCAGTTTTCTATAACATCATAGAAATAATAACCTTTAAAAACAGGAACATCACATTCCAAGGGGAACGTGTTCCGAGTTTAATAATTTTTTTTTTGGCGTAAAACCTGTGGAATCGAGTTTAATAATAATGTTGATTATGAAAGCGCCGATCACCCATCAGTGATGCGTTTTGTTCAAAATCTACACATGACAGGTGAAGTGCGCACCACTTCAGAGAGTGACATAATTATTAAAAACTGCTTCTTTTCCCTCCTAATTCGAATAATTATTGAATAATTAAGTAAAGGTACGTAGACGAGCAAGTAGTCAGCAGTCTCACTAAGGAAAGCGATTTGGACGCTGTCAATATCAACTGAATTGCCCTCTCATTTTGATTTGGTAAAAGTCAGCATTTGGGAAGGCCTTTTGTAGCCTGGTCGTCACGCGGCTATATATTTTTTGAGTCATGTACGACCTTTCAACTAATACAATGCTATTGCCCATTTACTACGTTGTCAGCGGAGCAGTTTCAGAAAAACTAACATTATTCTTGCCCATAATAAAAACGTTGTAGTCAAAAGGTTTATATCGCGATCGCTAGTATATAGAATGAGTTTCGGATTATTAATTTCTCTATCTGCAACAACGTTTTAGAGAGGAGCAGATACGATAATTACGCAAGGACACTGCGTCTACCTGTCCAAATTGCATGTCAAGTATAATTCCCCACACACGCACGCACGCACACCATGCAATTGATTTTCTATTGTGCGATTTATGCATGTGATTGAGTCGAGTCAGTTGTTTTCCGCTTGTGTCTGTACAAGAGAGTGATGGGCAAGTAAAGCACTGTCATGTATGTCCTCAGAATACTCAATTATTAACGATCCCAACAAATGAGTATTTTATTTTTTATTTGTGGATTAATTTTGTTATTGGCTGTTAAGATAATTACACTTGTATGCTCTCAATGTGGTTGCAGAGAATAAACCAATAATTCGGTCTCTAAATTAGTAATATTTACGTAATGTCGTCAATTTTTGAAAATGAGTGAGTGCATTAGTTATAATTCTTGAAAATAATTTTTGTAAGGTAATTCTGTTGTAGAGTGATCAAGAAAAACTGGTAAAAAGAAAGAGACAGACTGATTATGAGTTTGTTGGTTTTAAAATTAATTTGTGCATTTGTTAATTGTAAAAGAAACACTAAATTAACTTTATAGTTTACAATGACTCCTAAGGCCTAGATCTTTATTTTAGCATGGAGACGTTGTAGACGCAAATATTTTCCGCCTACTGTTTTTGAAAAAACAAGAACTTGAAGAAAAAGAAAGGTCGGGAGAAAGAATAAAATAATATCGATCAACTATGTCTCTATCAAGCACCAATTATACGGTATGGGTATAAGATCGTTGAGGCAAAGAAAAGAGAGAGATGCATATGCATTTGCAATAGGAATGAGATTTATAATGGCTGGGACAAGAAGCGTCTTTAATATGGTCATTTACAGAAAGGCCTAAGCGAGCGTTGCAGTTGCAGATGGAAAAGCACAGAGCAGGGAATAGACGACGGCGCTTGGTGGTGGTACCAGCTCCTTTTCAAGGCCACTTAACCCCAATGCTTCAACTGGCTTCCATCCTTCATTCTAATGGCTTCTCCATAACCATAGCTCACACCCGCTTCAATTCTCCAGATCCTTCCAATCATCCCCACTTCTCCTTCCTCCCTTTCTCTGATGGTTTATCTCATTCTGATTCCATCTCCTCCCATAATCTTACCGCCATCACTGATACTCTTTCCGCCAACTGCGCTTCTCCTTTTAGAGACTTACTGCTCCGCTTGACCACACAAAACATCGCCTGCATCGTCCATGATGGTTTGATGTACTTCGTTGATTCCGTGGCTCAACAACTCAACCTCCCTACAATACTCCTTCGAACCACTTGTGCTACCAATGTACTGGCCTATCATTCTCTGCATCGCCTACTCAGTGAAGGTTGCCTTCCTCTGCAAGGTAGTCTCATCCTAATTAAGCTCTTTCCTCAACTCTTAGTCATGTATAATTAATCGGATATGTCTTCAGCTCCAATTTTGCTTTTATGTTGTAAGCGAATGAAACATGTCGGCATGCAGATGAAAGGGTGGTGCCAGGACTGGAGCCGTTGAGGTTCAAAGATCTACCTACTTTCATTTCGACAAATTCTGATGTGCTGCAGTATCAATTGAATAAAGTACAACATGGCATAAAATCATCGTTAGGTGTCATATTTAACACAGTGGACTGCCTTGAAGGGCACAGGGTGGATGAGCTGAGGCAAATATACCAAGTCCCTATATTCCCGATAGGCGCGTTTCACGGCATGGCTCCAGATTCAAGCTCTAGCTTTCTAGAACAGGATCATAGCTGCATAGCTTGGCTGCACGAGCAAGCCCCAAGATCAGTGTTGTACGTGAGTCTGGGAAGCATCATAACATGGGAGGAAAAAGAGCTGACAGAGATGGTTTACGGGTTACTGAGTAGCAAGCAGAAATTCCTGTGGGTGGTTCGAGCGAGGGCCATAGATGTGACGGAGTGGGTAGAATCATTGGCTGAGGACGTGAGAAAAGCGATAGGAGACAGAGGATGCATGGTGAGATGGGCACCGCAAAAGGAGGTTCTGGCACACGAAGCCGTGGGAGGGTTTTGGAGTCACTGTGGGTGGAATTCGACGTTGGAGAGTATGTACGAAGGAAAGCCAATGATATGCCAAGCTCATTTTGGGGATCAGAGGGTGAACTCGAGGCTGGCGAGCCATGTGTGGAAGGTGGGCGTAGAATGGTCCGGCGACGTCATGGAAAGGGGGGACGTGGAAAAAGCTGTGACGAAACTAATGGTGGATCCGCAGGGGAAGCAGATGTGGCAGAGAGCACAACAACTGAAGCGTCAGCTTAGGCAAGCCGTGACCCAAGGCGGCTCTTCCCGTAACACTTTAATTCACTTGGTTGACCATATATTGTCATTCTCATGAGATAAATGGCACCATTTTGTCTTTGTTTGGTTTGATTCCCGGCCGGTACGTTACTTATGAAATCACACACCACACTAGACTGTGGATCCACCGATATGTCTACTGTTTTGTGCTGGGTTTGAAAATGCCGTCTGTTTATACTCTTCACCTTCGAGTCCTTCTCCTACCTTCAGAGCTCTCTTTGTTGGTCGCCAAGGCTAGCAGTGGCATGTTATTTACAGGGTTCAGATTGGCCGAGCATCATCGGAGAATGGGGTTCTTTTCTTCACTACAGCTGCTGCGAAGAAGCATGTCAAGAAACATGATGTTAAAGTAGTTGAATTATGTACTTGATTATTCCGTCACCTATCTACCACTCTCTTTCAAAATAATCGCCAGAGGTCCTGTTCTCTGTATCTATAGTTTCTTCTAGAAAAGGTTGTATAAATTGGTTTGTTGAATTTTGTAGAGCTAGTTAATTTTGAATAATTGGAACAGTAAGATTATGTCACCCGAAAATTGATATTTAATGACACAGTAAGTTGAGAACAGAGCTTGCCCGACTTCTATGAAGCAGCGATCAAACAAACAATTGGTACGTATTCCGGAACCGGTAATGCCGTTGCCAACGGCTGACAGATCAACGTTCCACGTGTCTAGGCATTAGACGGACAAGGATGACTTGAAAGTAAATAAAATGGAGCACGTAACGGGGTCCCACAAAAAAAAGAGTTCTTCAGACTATCCGAACTTCTCTGCAGGGCAGGTCAAGTCCTGCTTGGAACAGCGGGTTCTCACCGTCACCATTCCCAAAATGCAGCCCCGGCTGCATGAGTTCTAGCGGCCAGTCCCTTGGATTCATTTCTCGTGCGACGTTGCTCGCGTTGCCCATGTCATGCATGAATCCCATAGAATAATAAATCGTCACATTCAAACAGGCTTTCATTGTTCGGCCAGGAAAAAAGGCTTTCACTGCAACTAGTAATTTAGATCAATTTCTATATACATATTTATATGTATATTTATATATATGTTATGTAGTTTATATAGTGTATGATTTGTACCTTTGTTCAACCTTGCTGGACCAAGGCGGTGGATGTTATATAGAGTCGGGTAATTTATTACATGTTAATTGATCAATTCCCAATTCCCATTCCTAAAAAAATAAAAAGAAATATTTCATCTGATTTTTAATATAAGAGTTAGTTTGACATTCGATTTGATTCTAAATATAAGGCTTTAATCCATTTTATTTTTCATATTTATCTATTTTTTTCAAAATAGTCCTTATAATAGTTACACATGTTTAAAGTTCAATCAAATAATACTTTTAACCAATACACATGATTACTAAGGATATTCTAAAAAAAACAACACATATTTATTATAAATTATTAGCTTAACTAATTTTTTTCATTTTTTCAAATTAGTCAATTAGATCTTATATTAAAAATTGAAGGTAGTATCTAAACCTTGTTTCTATCTTTCGATTTGACTTCTAGCATAAATTTTCTGCTCAAAATTCTATTATCCATATTATCGGATTCCTTATGGTGAAATTATTATTAGAAGAATCAGTAAAGAGCATGCTAGTAGTAGTAGTAGTAGTAGTAGTAATATATAACTTCTAACTTACTCAAGCTTGCTTTTGACAAGGAAAGTATACATTTTTATTACCACCAAAAAAATTTAAGAGAAGTTCAATACAACGCAGCTTGTCTATATTGGGCTCAACCCAACGTTATCCAGTTCATTTTATTACCAATACAATTTGGGCTTAGTCAGGTCCCTGTTTATTTTGTAGAAAACCACTTTATAATTTGTGGGAAGATTAATTTAAAAAAACAGAGAACAAGGGTGTTTGATCACCCTAAAAGCACTTTTAAAAAGTGTTTTTATGCTCAGCCAAAAAAAATATTTTTATGTAAATTGAAATAAAAATTTTTTTATATACTTGCTTCACTTCATAGAAGGTAAAATTACTTTAAAACTACGGCTTTAATCAGTTTGACTCTAAAACTAAACTGCAGATATAAAGCGGGGTGGGAAATCGGATTCGTCTCAAATTCGAATAATCAAATACCCAACACGTGGTTTTGGCTAAGTACCAATAACCTGAATTACAAAGTCTGACGGTGGCTCCTCATGGTCATAATTAAAAATTATATTATACATTATAAATCAAAATACCAAGAACTTCATTCGTACGGAGAGTGAAATCTTGCCAAGTGACAAAATGTGAGGGAGCATCGTGTGCAAATTCAGAAAACGGAACTCAAGACAGTGAATTGGAGAAAAGAATGAAGACTTTGCAAGAACCAAAACTAAAAGCTGCTGAGCAAGGTGTAATCGGGAAAAGCAAGCCTATTGATCTTCCTGAAACAAGAATCAAGATGCCTCAAAATAGTCAAATGGCGTCTCTGATACGAGAACGAGTTTTGGTCAAAACTCAAAAGTCTGCAGCGACTACTAAAAGAACACGCTTTTCAGAAAAATTCAAAGAATTTTCCCCAGGGATCTCAACCGCGATATTTTACACTCATCCCACTGCCAGACGATATGGAGGCTCATCATTCTCAGACAGAAGGGTCCGGTCTCTTGGATGCAGGAAATATCAGATTTCCCACGGGCCCCTCCTCAGCTCCCTATCATCTAAATGGGAACAAGCCCTTCAAGATCTATAAAAAGGTGAAGAAAGGAAACAAAGAGAAGCTGCAATTTCACCAGCAAATGGGCCTCCTCAGGGGCTAGGCCAGCAAGGTAAGTTGTCCCCATTTGGTCGATTTGACATCGGCATGGGTTATGGAAACAAAGGTTCCAACTGCAATGAGAGTTTGCATGTACCACATAAAAGCTCCAGGTATGAGGTTTCTGCTAGCTCATGCGTTTCAGACAGAAATAACTCCGTTGCTGCTGGCAGAAGCAGGACAAGCTCTTTGAGGAGGTTACTGGATCTACTATTGAAGGAAGCGAACTATCTTTACGCAGCGGAGTTATCTCATAAAGTTCCAGGGTTGATCAATAAAGGTGGTGTTACCTGTCCCCATCGGCAGTCAGTCAGGGAAAGAATTGGACAGGAACCGTAGGGTCAGTTGCAGCTCTATTGATAACCCAGATTCTTATAGTGAAAAGAAGCACGTATCCACCGTGAAAGAGCTCGTATTGTTTTGTGTTGATTTGAAGCAGGGGAATGGCAAGGCCTCTGATCATCAACCAAATGAGAAGCTTGCTGCCATTATTCTTCTTTAAAAAAAAAAAAAAACCAGGACTATTAGTTTCATCAACAATCTACGCCAGGGGAGTCACAGTAGTGATAGTCGATCTGTCCATGCAACAATTGTGCTTCCAAGTGGGTGGGACTTGTGTTGCCAACTGAAAATCCTTGAAAATGAAAATGGAAACTTGTAAAAATTAAAAAAGAAAAAAAAATTCCGATTCTTATTTTGCAGAACAGTTTATTAAGCTATTCCTCCAGGTACTTCTCGAGCTTAAGTTCGTGTGAATCTCTCACATATTCCTGTAATAATTTTTCTTAATGTTCTTTTAACTTCCATTGCTACCCAGCAGGTGAAGGGAGACCACGTGCCTGCTTTCACTCTGACCCCCTTCAAGAATGGAATATATTCCTTGCTTTTGACCCGTCACTCTGACCCTTGCAAGCATTCTCCATCGGCGTGGCGTTAATAGACAGTAAGATGCCATGGGAACTTTCTGGATCAAGAAATTCTGTTGAAGGAAAAAAGGAGAGAAACCTCATCAATGCAAAACGATGGGATAAAGGCTTTGCGAAAATAGGAGGATATTCCTGCAAGTTATATCTCGTATCCACCGCTTTCGCCAGTGGGCAGGGTCTAAATTAGCTGAAAGCGTATAAAAATAAAGACGTGTCTCCTCGCAATTTGACGCAGCATCTGTAGTTAGGCATGTTCACTCGCATAGATCAGTATCTGTGGTTCACGCAGTTAAGTTTCTCAGAAGTCCATTTCAAGCTCCCTCAGTTAAGGTAGAAATATGAAACGGAGGCAGCGAACTCGACGTGCCCATCTCCTGGCTCGTCCTTCCTTCTTTCCGTCCTTTTTTGGTTGTTTTTGCAGCAGAAGAATATGCTGAGTGTTCAAGTAAAGTGTGAGCTCGATGGGCCCCTCTATATTGGGCTGGGCTCATTCCAACCTCACCCAGTTCGTGTTTATTATCTTGTTTGGTGTTGTTTGGTCTCGTTAGCTTTCTTCGTAGTCTGAACTTAAATGAAAATTTTAATTTTCAGATAGAAAAATAATAAATTCACTCTCGACTTTAATGCTAAACCGGAGTCATGGCAAATTGGATTGGTCTCAAACATCAAACACCCAACACGTTTCGTGAAACTCTCCGGTTATTTTTTTTATGATTGTTTGTTCACTTGAAAATTAGCATCATATAATTCCACGCTAAAACGGCACACATCATTAATGTATTCTGTAATTTTTTTCATGTTCAGCTTAAAACTACCAGGTTCTATGGTATGGAAACGAAGTCTGACAGCTGTTCCCTGTGGCCATAATCAAAATTCATATGTGATATTATAAATCATAGTATGAATTATGAACCCTTTCCGTTAGCTATATATCTGTAACGCAATCATTGTGTTATAATGCTCAGTTGATGATTGAAATCAGTACAGGGGCACATAGCACTTGTGTAATATGCTAATATCACACACACACACACATCGTTTAACAAGAAAAAAAGGTTACAACCAATGATTAAAGAACCGAACCGAACCGGACCGGACGGTCGAACCAGTTGAACCGTCACTGGACTCGTTAACGGCTCGGTTTGGACCAAAAAACCGTTCACATAGTTGAGCCGGATTGGACCGGAGTTGAGCCGTTATTAAACCGGAAACCAGAGTTGGACCGGGAACCTAAACGGTTTTTAGAAAATCGACAGTTTTTTAGCCTGACTGAAAAAACACTAAAAAATAGAAGAAAAATAAAAAATTGATCCCCTTAAATATCCTAATATATTTTTAGACTATTTATAACCATATAGTATTATTTCATTAAAAATTTCATATATTGTAGTGTTAAAATCGTGAATCGTTAGTTTTTTTGTTTCGATATTTGGTCTATCTTTTAAAACAATATTTTGATTTGAATGAATTGATAATTTGTAATATCATTAAATATTTTAAACATACATAAATTTAAATATATAAGGTTTTAGTCCATTTTCAATGATTTCATTATAATTTTAGATTATTTAAATGTATTCTAAATTATTTAATAATTTGATATTTTTCATATATACTAATTATATGTATATAATATTGTTTTAAATTAATTATTGCGTCACTGGTCCGACCGAACGGCCGACCGATCCAACTGTTTGAACTATGACCCGTTGATCTTTCCGATTCAACTTCCGATCCAGCTTTTAAAACATTGGTTACAACATGTCATGATTTTCGACGTAACAAGCTGTGATTCCGAACACGCTAAAAAATAATGTTCATGATACCTCCCATTTTGCTATTCCATACTGTCAGTTCAGGTTGGTCAACGTTTATTTGTGTGGACCAGGTTTTTTACATGCACTGCATGTGCCCTGATTAAACATTGTACAAAATGATTTGATATTGAGACGTGAGAAGGCCCTACCCGCCAACAACACAACAAGAAATTAAATATCAAAATACATTGAGCAACAAGCTGTAATTAAATACCTGACGTACCCCGCAAAACTATGGGAATGTTAAATATATCATCGAAGTCCTGAAATACATAAAGCTGAAACTTGAAGATGCTTTAGGAGAGAGTCAGGACGACAATGAGTGGGTAATCTCTGTTTTGATCAACAACATATGATGGTGCAAGATTCTGGTGCTGGTAAGTGGCAATGGCACGCATTATCTTTTGGAAAAGTAAAGTGAAAATAGGGGACCATAATTACAAGGGCTTTGGATCTCAGTTCTAATAATGATGTTCAGCTTTTATCCCCCCACATCTTCTTCCTCGTATGATGCATCCGTCTTATCATCCCCTGTTCCCCCCATATTTTCTGACTAGCTTTTCTGAGATCGTGCTCTAAAGTTGCCACTTTAATCCCCCGCGCCCTCTCAAAAGGATATATAACTTTTGCGCCACTTCTTTTATAAATCTTTTGCTCATTTCCCTCTCATGTTTTGCCGCCACAATGGGGCATGTATGCTTGTCTGCTTTAATATTTACATTCCCTAGAGTTTTGTATTATCTATTTTTTTACTGCCGCTTGCTGTACGTAAATGTTTGCAACCGTGCATGTTCATACATACGGCATGCAATTTCATTTCATCGGAACCCACGAGAAGCACAGATTTGGAATCATGAGATTCGAAGCTACCACGTTAAATTGATGATCATACAGGAGTTTTCATCGAGATGCAACAAAGCAGAGGAAGAATGAGACTGCAAAGTATGATCGATCCAGATGGAGCTGCCAATTAATGGGGACGGGGAGCGTTAGCAGACAGCAGAGCAGAAAACGACAAGAAGACCGATCGGGTCATCAACTCGAGGGGGTCCACCGCTTCATCAAACGTCTCTTACGAGACTAGTAGGGTATCACAAAACAAAAAGCCAATAAAATACCGATTCATGTGGGCCTCCACATTATGATGTCACCATCCCGTTTCCTACTTTGTTATTTTCCCCCCTCTTTCTCTGGCCGTCCGATGAAAATGATAGGCTCCCATCATCTCTCCTCTCTCTCCCCTCTGAACTGCTAGTTTTTGGAGCAACCGAGCAAATTAGCTCTACCTTACTTCCACCTCACCCCAGAAACACACGCGGCTTCTGCATCTATCTCTCTTTGTAGTTTGTGCGCACCTGCAGCTCGCGTCCTCTTTTCCCCCCATATATTCTGTCAGGCCTTGCAGTCCAAAATTCAGGCAATTGGTTTTCGAGGCCATTAATTATTTATCCTCCTCCCCTTCCGTCTTCCTTTTTCTATTGCTGGTGGGGCACCGACACTCGTTTTGCTTCGTATCCAAGCCAGACCTTCTTCAGTTGTTGCTTCTCCCGCTTATGCAATTTTGCTTCCTGCTATCTGGTACGCATTTCCTGTTTTCTTTCTACATTTCTTTTTTCAAGAATATGTTTAGAATCTTAGCTTTTGGTCCCAGGTTCTACAAAATTTCCCTTCTCAGCGCTTTTATGTTTGACCCGGATTTGGCAGCCGGGCTGGATGGAGGGACTAAGATTCTCTTTTCTTTAGAATTGTATCCTTTCCACCCCTGCTCCTGTTAGTATTTGGTAGTCGGTAAACAAGGAGAATGTTCTTAAAAATTCCTCCTCTCAGTAAATTCATTTTATCGTTTCTTGTGAGGGTCGAAACGAAATAAGGCCCTCTTGTTCAGTAATTTGAATGACGACTGACGGGGGAGCTATTGCTTTTGAGTAGCTGGGTATTTTTGTCCCTTTCGTTAGTTGGGGGAAAAGATTTTGATTCGGATCAAGACGGTTCCTTACACCTTATCTTTTACACATTCAAAGCAGTTTTGCATGGACCACTTCCAGTTTTGTGTCCCTGCCAACTTGCTTATCTAACATTCTTGACATCACCCATTGTTTCCGCGCATATGATTTAAAATTCTAAGTCGGTCATCTTCATTGCTCTAGAGATCTCATTCACTCGCGCTCAGTGTATTTCATTTTCTTCAATCTGCTGTACAGCACCCCTGCTTTTTATACTCTTGAGCTGTGTAAGCCGTCTCATTGACATGCTATCCAATTCGGAGTCGATGAAAGTCAAATGATAATGTAGTGCCGTATATAACAACATTTTAGCTACAACCTTAACAGTTATCATTCAATTATGCCAGGGATTGGGGCAGGCGCTGTTGGCTGAAAAATGTCTTTTGTGTTGTTTGATACCGCTAAGCCTATCTTCCTGCAATTTATGTACGGATTGTTAGCTTTGCATTTGGCTTACACGCTGATTAGCAGAAGTTATAGGACGCACTAATTCATTTAGTTTTGAAAGGTTTTCCGAACTGTTATTGTTCTTTCTACACAAGCAATTATTCATTTAGTTTGTTTTTCTAAATGTAATTCAGTCCTGCCTGCAAGCAGGAGTTTTCCTGATTGCAGCCTCTTTCAAAAATAAGGTGGTAGACCTTTTCAGAGCTGTAGCCTTGAATATCTATGCAGCCCATGGAATAGCCGTTAGATCTCAAGAGGAACTCGAGGAAATCAACAATCAGCATGAGCAGAAAGCTGTATGACAAGTCCAAACCAGAAAAAAATGCTTTGCCATATGCTGATCTCCAAACTGTGGAAAACTGCTCTTTAAAATATTCCAGGAATCAGCAAAAGCAAGTATATTTCAGTGGAGCAGGTGAAGACGATGAGCTTGTCAAGCACATGTCTAATTTGCCAGGTTATCTGGAGAGAGGGAAAAATATTCATGAGAAAGTCTTAAATGTTGGGGTCCTTGATTGGTCCCGTCTAGAACAATGGCAACATAGGCATAAACAACCCCAGAAAGGTAATAGGGCTTCAACATCCACCAGTAACAGCAATACATCCTCTTCTGTCCCAGCAGAAGGATTCTCTGGTCATTCCAGCACTGGTCGTAGTCGGTCTGCTTCTCGTCAAAGATTAAGTCGCCCATCACTTCAGTCTTACTTCAAGTCATCTACCCTGCAAGACCACTCCCTCGGTGACAAGACCTCAGGAGAAAATGTTGGAAGTCGTCATAATCTTAGAGGTAGCCTTGGTAACATTAATGCTCAGAGCAAATTAGTCGGAGCAGATGACTATCTTTCCCCAAACCTTCATGTTGGCAGCCTGAAAGCATGCGGCCAAAAGGATATGCGTCCAAACATTAGTACGGGGAGTGAAATCTTGCCAAGTGACGAAAAATGTGAGGGAGCACTGTGTGCAAAGATTGAAAAGGGCGCTCGAGACAGTAAATTGGAGAAAAGAATGGAGACTTTGCAAGAGCCAAATTTAAAAACTGTCGAGCAAGGTGTAATTGGGAAAAGCCAAGGTGAAGAAAGGAAACAAGCAGGAGCTACAATTTCATCTGCAGATGGACCTTCTCAGGGACGAGGCCGGAAAGTTAAGTCTGAAAAGTCAAGAAGCTCTTCCCCATTTGATCGATTTGGCATCAGCATGGGTTATAGAAACAAAGGTTCCAACTGCAATGAGAGTTTACACGTACCACATAAGAGCTCTATGGCTGCTGTTAGATCTAGTTCTGAAACTGCGAGAGTTTCTGCTAGCTCATGCGTTTCAGGCAGAAATAATTCCATTAATGCTCGCAGAAGCAGGACAAGCCCATTGAGGAGGTTACTGGATCCAATATTGAAGCCAAAGGAAGCCAACTACCGTCACTCCCTGGAGTTATCTCAGAAAGATCCGGGGTTGATGAATAACGCTAATGTTGCCTATCCCCATCTGCAGTTAGGGAAAGATTTGGACAGGGACCGTAGGGTCAGTTGTAGCTCTATTAATACCTGTGATTCTTATAATGAAAAGAAGCATGTATCTTCGACATCTCGAGCTCTTCTAAGAATTGCAGTGAAAAATGGTCAACCCTTGTTTACATTTGCAGTTGACAATGACAACAATGTTCTTGTAGCTAAAGTTAAGACTTTAAGTGCCTCAGGGAAAGATGACTGTTGCTGTATCTATACTTTTTTTTCCTTCAAGGAAGTTAAGAAGAAGAATGGCAATTGGATGAATCAAGCGGGCAAAAGCAAAGGCCCAAATTATATTCACCAAGTTGTTGCCCAAATGAAGGTTTCCAATTCTCACTTGTGTGATTTAACTGGTCAGAATTGTGTGGACTTCTCCACTGTGAAACAGTTTGTATTGTTTTCTGTTGAACTGAAGCAGAATGGTGAGGCCTCTGATTATCAGCCAAACCATGAGCTTGCTGCCATTGTTCTCAAAATACCAAAAACTGTCAGTTTCATCAACAATTTACATCAGGGAAGTTGCCACAATGATAGTCAACTTGTCCATGCAACGGTTGTGCTTCCAAGTGGGGTTCATAGTCTTCCGAGTAGAGGTGGACCTTCGTCCCTGATTGAACGCTGGAAATCAGGTGGATCATGTGATTGCGGTGGGTGGGACTTGGGCTGCAAACTGAAAATCCTTGAAAACGAAAATGAAGCTTGTAAAAGTTCAAAACCCTCCAAAGCTTATTTTGCAGAACAGTTTGAGCTATTCCTCCAGGTAATTCTTGAGCTTAAGTTAATGTGATTCTCACATTGTCCTGTAATAAATTTCTTAATGGTCTTTTAACTTCCATTGCTACCCAGCAGGTGAATGGACAAGACCACGTGCCTGCTTTCAGTTTGACTCCCTTAAATCATGGAATATATTCAGTTTCTTTTGACTCGTCTCTCTCGCTCTTGCAAGCATTCTCCATCTGCATCGCGTTAGTAGACAGCAAGATGCCATATGAGCTTTCTGGATCAAGAAATTATGTCGAAGGAAAAACTCCGAGAGAAACCCTATCAATGCAAAATGATGGGATAAAGGTTTTGCGGAAATTGGAGGATATTCCTGCAAGTTATATCTCGTATCCACCGCTTTCACCGGTTGGCAGGGTCTAAATTAGTATGAGCGTATAGAAGTGAAGATGCGTCTCCGGTCTCCTTGCAATTTTATGCAGTATCTGTAATTAGGCATGCCCACCCCGCATGGATCAGTATATTTTACTCGTGTCTGATGCGTAGAGTTAAGTTTCTCAGAAGTCCATTACAAGGTAGAATTATGAGTTGGGGGCAGCGAGATCGATGTACTTCTTACTTTTCCTTCCTTCCCTCCCTCTTCCTTTTTTTTTTTTGGTTGTTTTTACAGCAGAAGAAACGTTAGTATTCAACATGAGAAACAGTGATTATCAATTAACTAAAGTGTGAATAGTATGGTTTTATTGTGTATTGACTTCTGGTCAGTTTCTGATTTGTTTATGTATTGGACCAATAAATTTAAAAAAAAAAAAAATCATTTCCTGATGTTTTCGCGCTCGTTACCATTGATACGTCCGCGCAAGGCTCATGATGTGCGAAGTTCATATCATCTGTGCCCTTCGGTCAGGTTCCCCCTCGTTAAGGTCTCCCTACCCAGAATAGTGTTGTACTTTTAGGCATATGTCTAGCCGAAAAATATTAAAATGGTCCTATTTGTATAAAATCAGGGTAAAGTATCAAATATTATAAATAACCATTGATAGTTATATAGTTCAAAATAATGAGATCTTTTTTCTTCGTTTTAATGAGTCGAATTGACTCCGTCCCTCCCTCCCTCCCTCTCGGTAAGTGTGGCTGTGGGGCGGTGGGAGAGAGCGCGAGAGACGAAGACGAGGAGTTCAGGAGAAGCGAATATGTCAGTCTCAACGAACAAAACCCATGCCTTGAAAAATCTTATCCAGGTCTAAGGTAAACGATTGCATTTCAGGAGAATTCATGGAGTTTGAATATTTTAGGTATCCTTTATTCAAGTTTGGAGGCGAGCCATGCCTCAGACAACTGACAACACATTTTTACTGTCAGACCGGGAAAAAAAACAACAATTTATCCTAGAATGGACCCAGTGGGCCATATCGAGAAGTGAAAGCAGGTCTTAGATCACAACTTTTTACCACTGTTTTCTTTGATGAAATAGAAGAGAGGGAGCATATATTTACGGCCATCTTCACCCTATTTTAATAGAAACACCCTATTTACATGCCAAGAAGGAGAAAAGAATACACCATGCTGCATTGAGTTTAATGCTCTCTATCATATAAACTCACATTATAGTTCAGGGTGAACAAAGCTGCGCTAAGAGGATTGGCATTTATTAAGTTCAAGCGATGTGTTTCCAATTTAAATTTACGGCATTTTTGTCTTTTAATATTTACAAATATACAGACTCAGGGTCAACGAATCTAGAAGAAAGTGAAAACCAGCGTTCTTGTGTAATCCATGCAACCCCTATGCCTATGCATAATATAATACTAATCAGACTAAACACTTATTGAGGAGAAAAATAGCAAAAAGGGAAAATAAAAGGCAAATCCAGCACACTCTTTACCTGGATCCAATGAGCTCGCACTGGGATAAAAAGCCGCACAAAGCGCACAAAGCTTACTGACTACTACGAGTGAATTCTTTTCTATTATCTTCACAGCAGTACAAGTGTATTCCCACCTTGTGATGAAACAACCCCAATGTCTCGTTTCTTTCTTCCTCTTTTAACGTAACACGTCCTCTATGCAGGATTGGTAGGGTGTTGGGCTTTTCTTTGTTAACTTCATTAATTGCAGGTGAGCGGAGGATGAAGGCACGTGATGCCCACTTGAGCCAATTGATGTTACCACGAGGCTAATTATTAATTATTAATTACCAACGATGCGGCTGCTCTACTCTAATAAGCCTTTTCCAGAATGACAGTTAAGATTTCGATTAGTACGCAAGTAATCTCAAACCAAAAATGTATCACGCTACAGTTTTTAATACTCCCATCTTGAAAAAAAATTATGTTTTTTTAAAAAAATTTTAAAAATGAAAATTTTTGATGTGACGTTAATTTTTTTGGTCCTGATTCCTGAATTGTTATTTTTTAAGAAGTTATTTTTCGTTAACATTCTCTGCGAGTACGAAGGGATATGAGTTGAGAAGGATGAAATGGGAAAAGTAGTTGTAACACGAGGGACTTTCCATGGGTTGCTTTCCCATGGAAAAAAGGTCCCTTTTTCACTGATACCATAAATTTTCCCCACTCCGTACTCTCATCTTCAACACTCAAAGCTCCTCTGCTCCCCTGCCTCCGCTTCTCACAATGTTGTTTCCTTTTCCCCCACTCTCCCTCATCAGCCGCTCCTCTTCTAGCCCTTTTATGAAACTTTACTAATTATTAATACGAGTTTGTCGATATATCATATCTCTCTGACCTTTGCAGTCGCTGAACAAGGCCTTTTTCCGTCTTTCAGACGACACTAAACAAGTATATTTGCAGAGACTAAACTGGGAATGTGTAAAGTTGAAGAATCAAATGATGCGAGAAAAGGGTACATATTGAGATGGGTGATTGAGTCGTGTTGGAGATTTGGGTGGCAGATCCCCGCCAGTATCCGGAGTGTCTGCTCAAATCTTGGGCCAATTTTAATTAGTAACAAATCTACAGACTGTTGTCTTTTTATATTTTTGGTTGGATATAGTGATAAATAAGAGAAATAAGGGTCAGGGACGTGGGATGGATGGGGTTTGTATTGTAACTTAAATCGCAGAATAAGAAGACGTGTGTGAATGATTGGGGGAAATAGGACCACCACCAGGTGAGTGAGGCTTTTAAAAAAAGGCTGTGATGAAGAAAGGCTTGGCCGTGACACCACATAGATCCCTAAAAAAGATGTGCATTATTTGTTCCCCCCCCCCCCCCCCCCTCATAATTGGTCCACCCGATATCTCATTTTCATCTTTGGATCTTCTCAAGTTGGTGTTCATCATGCTTTTAAGCTCACCCCTGATTCCAATTCATTCACTTCATCCCATACCTGTAAAATTAACCACCCCATTAGCACCTTCCACCTTATCATTATTCTTTCTTCTTCCATCAATAAATGAACAGGTGTTGCTGGTGGGTGTCCTTCCCCATCAATTTTAGACCTGATATACTCACTCCGCTACTCAATATAATACTTTCTCTGATTCTAAATATAAACCTATTTTTATAGTATAAATTAGAGTCTTATATTTAGAACCAGACGAGTAGTTTGTTTGGTTTTTACCTTGGTCCCAATTATAAGACTTCAGTTCACTTTGTCTCCCATATTTATCTATTTTTTTCTAAAGTAGTTCTTGTAATAATGATAATTCTAGCGAATATACTTGATTAGAAAGGATATTTTAGGAAAGACAACACCTATTTATTACAAATAACTAACTTAATTAGTTTTTTTAATATACTCAAATCAATCAATTAACTCTTATATTAAAGATCGGGAGTAGTATGATTATAAACCGCTCAAAGAGATGATAGAAATGTTACAGGCTTACGGTCAGTCAGCTGATTTTTAGTTTAGCTTGGTCTCATAAATTAAAGTGTCAAGTGTTCTCAATTATTACAATCTAATTTTTAGTTTAGCTTGATCTCATAAATTAAAGTGTCAAGTGTTCTCAGTTATTACAATTTAGTTCTGTAATCTCTAGTTGATCGATTTAGTACACACCTTGTTTTGTTTTTTTTGGAAGACAAGAAATTAGTTCATGTAAGTGATTTTGAAGTATTTTAGGTAATAAGATAATTAATTACCCAAATGTGGGACCTTTTTTTTTTTTTAGCACTCAAATGTAGGACCTTTTAAAAAAGTATTTTACAGAATAAATTTGGTAAAACATCTCACAAATAGAAACACCAGAAAGTGCTATAAAACATCTCACAGAATTGAGGCGGAGTATTTTTTTTTTTAATATATTCACACTAATTTTTATATGTAGTTTTAAAAATTAAAAAAGTAAAGATATTTCGACAATTTGAACTCTCCACATGCCATGTTCGCGGGGCAATTGATCCACAGAATAGACAATTAGGGAGGAGAAATAGCAATAAAAGCCAGGGAGAGCCAGATTGTCAACACCGCTTCCACCTCGTGGCATATGTTGTCAGTGGTGGGCTCAGAGGCAAGCGTGGGAATGGGATGGGATGTCTTGGGGAAGCTTATCAGGCCGAAAATAAAAGAAGGAATTAAAAACACACACAGTTCAATATCAAATAATTAATGAATATATATTTTCTCAAAATAATAGATATAGTAGAGTACTAAGTAGTAGAGAACCCAGTGCAGGCTACAGGAGAGAAGGAAAGCTGGAAGAAAAGGGAATGATGAAGAGGTGGTGTGCTGGGAGTGATTCTTAAGTTTAGGCACAAACCCTTGGATCTCAAAGGAGGATTCTTTCTCGTCTACTTTCTCTTCCCCCAAGTATACCCGAGGTTCCTAGTTGTTCACTTCCCTTCTCTTCATCATTTCCGCCTTATCCCTATTCGTCTCCACACTCTAGTCTCCTCCACGAAGTTTTTGAGGAATTGCATATTCACCAATGGGAGGTCGCTGCTCGAAATTCTCACTATGCTGGTGGTCCTCTAATATCAAATCCAATCTTCATGATTTGTCTGACAATGGTGAGGTTTTCTCACTGTTCATTCTCTGGGGGAAAAACCAAAAATGCTAACTGGTTTTACCTCTTTTCCTTTCACTGAAATTTCGAACTGGGGTGCAGATGATGGGAACAAGAATGAGAAGCCTGGAATCATAGAATATAGCTTGGATCAGCTGAGAAGTGCCACTTTAGGATTTTCACCCGATAACATTGTGTCAGAGCACGGCGAAAAAGCTCCCAATGTTGTCTATAAAGGAAAGCTTGAAGATGACGGGTGGGTTGCTGTGAAGCGCTTCAACCGGTCGGCTTGGCCTGATTCTCGACAATTCCTGGTTCGTGCCTTCTGCTTCCACCCATGTTTTTATGGTTTAGAACTTCTCTTATGGTGGACCATGCATGTATATGAATGGTGCTACCCATCTTTGCGAGTGGAAATTTATGTTTGCTGTGGCTGGTCTATCTTGCAGGAGGAAGCACGAGCAGTGGGGCAGCTGCGGAATGAGCGATTAGCCAACTTGATTGGGTGTTGCTGCGAAGGGGAAGAGAGACTGCTTGTTGCTGAGTTTATGCCCAATGAAACTCTCTCCAAACACCTTTTTCATTGTAATTTTTAATTATTTATTTCATATTCATCACTTAAGTTGCTCTTCTCTTGTAGTTGTTTAGAATGCAAGGTGGCTTGCTGATTTAGTTTTATTGGTTGCTATTATTGCTCATCAGAAGCCAGTTGTAGGGAGAAGTCCAATCTAACAATAATTAACTAGGTAATGCAAGTTATTAGTAAGATAGTTAAGCATTGAGATAATGATTGGCTAACATAAAGCATTTTCTTTAAGAAGCAAAGAGAGAAACCAATTTAAGTAATCTTCGTCTTC